ACACCTGTGTGTAAGTTTTGCTGCAAATATAGTATTTTGTCAGACTTTGATTTGAATCTGATTGTTCAGAATTATATACTACTGTACTTTTAATATCTGTGACTTTTAAAATTTGTATAAGTAGAGTTGACATCTTTTCATTTGATTATTGTTTATAACCCATGTCTATATTCCTGCTGAACTAAAGTTCTTTTACTTTTTATTTGTTGAACTCTTTAGTGGAGCTGAGTCAAGCCTTTGACTAATGTAAATTAAAAATGTTATCTCAAAAAAAATGAAAAATACAACAATGTAGATGATCTCCAAATACTTAGGCTGAGTAGACAGTGACAGATAAAGAAGAGTATATACTGTGTGGTTTTATTTATATAAAATTTAGAAGATGCAAATAGGGGCCGGCACTGTGGCATAGTAGGCCAAGCTTCTGCCTGTGGTGCCGGCATCCCATATGGGCACCGGTTCGTTTCCTGGCTCAGTCAAATAAATTAAAAAAATCTTAAAAAAAAAAAAAAAGCTGAAAAGTAATCTGTAGTGACAGAAAGCAAATCACTGGTTATCTGCAGGGTCAGAAAGTGGTAGGTTTCTAAAGGGGAATTAAAGTGTTAGGAAGAGTCTTTGGGGAATGATAAATACACGCACCATCTTGATTGTGATGACAATTTGCTAAGTATATTCATATGTTAAACTTATAAATTGTACACTTTAAGCATGCAACTTTATGTCAGCTATAACAATGAATTGGTTAAAAATAAAGAGGAAGGGGCCAGCGCTGTGGCAAAGTGGGTTACCGATTTAAGTACCAGCTGCTCCATTTCTGATTCAACTCTCAGCTAATGTGCCTGGGAAAGCAGTGGAATATGGCCTAAGTCTTTGGGCCCCTGCACCCAGAAGCTGCTCCTGGCTCCTGGCTCCGGATTGTCTCAGCTCCGGCCGTTGCGGCCATTTAGGGAGTGAACCAGTGGATGGAACACCTTTCTCTATGTCTCTGTCTCTCTCTCTGTAACTCTGTCTTTCAAATAAAAACAATAAGTCTTAAAAAAAAATAAAAAGGAAAAGCAGTCAAACAATGTCAGAAGTAACCACCCAAGCAATACAAAATGAATATGTAATTGCATATTTACCATTCCAGTAGAAACAGAAAACTTCGGACAGTTAGCAAAAAAATATTGTGGTAGAGATGAATACAAGTAGGTCAGTTATTACTAGAATTTAATATGTTGAGGGGCCGGCACCGTGGTACAGTAGGTTAATCCTCGGCCAGAGGCGCCAGCATCCCATATGGGCACTGGTTCTAGTCCTGGCTGCTCCTCTTCCAGTCCAGCTCTCTGCTATGGCCTGGGATAGCAGTGGAGGATGGTCCAAGTGCTTGGGCCCCTGCACTCATGTGGGAGACCAGGAAGAAGCACCTGGCTCCTGGCATTGGATCAGCGCAGCTCCGGCCATTGCAGCCATTTGGGGAGTGAACCTGTGGAAGGAAGACCTTTCTCTCTGTATCTCTCCCTCTCACTGTCTATAACTCTACCTCTCAAACAAATAAAATATATATATATAAAAGAATTTAGTTTGTTGAACCTTTAAATTGAAAGATAATCAAACTGGATTTTTTTAAATGACTTTACTGACATAATTTATGTATGATAAACTTGCCTATAAAATGGAATAATTCAGTGCTTTTTAAATATGTATACAAAGCGCAAAATCACCATAATCTAATTTTGAAATATTTTCATTATTCTGAAATTCTGTCTTGTACCATTAGGAGTCATTTGCCATCCGTGCTCTGCTTTCCACCCATCCCCAAGGCAATCACTAATTACTTTTTTTTGCCTAAGGATTTACCTATTCTGGATATTCTGTTAATTAAGATTATTTACTATGCAGTCTTTTGTGATTGCCTCCTTTGATTTAGTATGCTTTTGAGGTTCACCCATGTTGTAGCTCGTGTTAGTACTATGTTTCTTTTTATTGCTGAATGATAGTCCATCCTGTGATTATACCTCATTTGTTTATCAGTTAGTCAGTTTTCCACTTTCAGTCTATTAAGAATAATGCTAAGGGCTACCATTGTGGCATAACAGGTAAATTTCACCACCTGTGATGCCACCATCCCTTATGGGCACCGGTTTGTGTCCTGGCTGTTCAGTTTCCATTGCAGCTCCCTGGGCCAACTACTTGGGTCCCTGTACCCACATGAGAGACCTGGGAGAAATTCCTGGCTCCCGGCTCCTGGCTCCTGGCTTCAGCCTGGCCCAGCCTTGGCTGTTGATGGCAATCTGGGAAGTAAACCAGTGAATGGAAGATCTCTGTCTCTCTCTGTTTTTCTCCCTGTCTCTGCAATTCTGACTTTCAAGTAAATAAATTAAAATCTTTTTTAAAGAATAAAGCTAGAATGAACATTCACATCCAAATTTTTATGTGGCCCTGTTTGAATTTCTCTTGAGTATGTAACTAGGAGTAGAATTGCTGGATTTGCCAAACTGTTTTCAAACAAAGCAGCATTACTTCACCTTTTTCAATATACCCAGTCTGGGGAGTGTGAGGTCATTTTTCATTCTATCTCTTATTTGCATTTCCCAAATGGCTAATGCCATCGTACATTTTTCCATGTGCTTATTGTTATTTCATCTGTCTTTGGATTATTAAAACTGGATTTTTAAAAATATATCTGTACACTATTTACAAGAGACTTAAAGCATAAAGAGAGAGTAAAGTTGAAAGTAAAAGCATTGAGCCGGGGCCGCGGCTCACTAGGCTAATCCTCCACCTGCGGCGCCGGCACCCCGGGTTCTAGTCCTGGTCAGGGCACCGGATTCTGTCCCGGCTGCTCCTCTTCCAGTCCAGCTCTCTGCTGTGGCACGGGAAGGCAGTGGAGGATGGCCCAAGTCCTTAGGCCCTGCACACGCATGGGAGACCAGGAGGAAGCACCTGGCTCCTGGCTTCGGATCAGCGCAGTGCGCCGGCCGCAGCAGCCATTGGGGGGTGAACTAATGGAAAGAAGGAAGACCTTTCTGTCTGTCTCTCTCTCTCTCTCACTGTTCACTCTGCCTGTAAAAAAAAAAAAAAAAAAAAACAGGAAACTTGCATTGAAAAGATAAAACAGGAGAGGCCAGCACAGTGACATAGCAGTGCCGGCATCCCATATGGGCACTGGTTCGAGTCCCAGCTGCTACTCTTCCCAGGTCTCTGCTGTGGCCTGGGAAAGCAGTAGAAGATGGCCCAAGTGCTTGGGCCCCTGCACCCTCCTGGGAGACCCAGAGGAAGCTCCTGGCTCCTGGCTTCGGATCAGCTCGGCTCCTGTCCTTGCGGCCATTTGGAGAGTGAACCAGTGGGTGGAGGACTTCTCTCTCTGCCTCTGCTTCTGCTTCTCTATAACTCTGCCTTTCACATAAACAAATAAATCTTTTAAAAAAAAAAAAAGCCTATAGAGACCAAGAGGCAACTGTTTGAGCTACATAATTATTATACAAAATAAGAACCATTTCAAAGGCTTTTATTTGTCGATATTTTTCTGAAAACATAACTATGTACAGAAAATATTTATGGAAAATACAAGTCGTACAAAAATTGACTTTATGCCAAAGAACATTCAGTTCTTAATAAAAATTAAGACCATTATTCATCGTTTGATGTTTTTATGGGATTTGTGAAGTTAAGGTGATTTGAAACTAGCTTAGAATTTTCTTCTCTTGATTATTTGGAAATGAGTAGTTCTTTTCTTTTTATTTGTAGCTTATGTGATTTCTCCTAATGGAAATTAATGTAATTTCTTAAAATGTAGTTAGCTATTTATACAGTTTTTTCAGTTTTGGCACTTGGCTTCCTTTCTTCCCATAAACACAGTCTATATTTTATCCAGTCTTGTCACTTTCCAGAAAAAATGCCCTGTGTCATGTGACAGAATCACCTCAATCTGTTATGTTTCAATGAAAATTCAGGATACAAATGTAAAATTTTTCATTCTGAAATCCAAACATTTCCAGACAAACATGCTTGCATCTGACTCATACATCTGCCTTCTGAAGTGATTGAAGGGTAAGAAGTTGACCTTAGAGAATGTGGAAAGTTTTTTGGATGGATAGGGTTATAAGCTAAGACCCAAAGTTAAAATTACCTTGAAAATATTTACTTAGTAGATTGGGAGATGATCTCAAAGCAAGATTGCTAAGTAAGATTGAATCTTTTTTTGATTTTAGGATTATAATGTGATATTTTATGTATTTGTAATACATGTAATCATACTGATTAGACTAGTGAAAATTTGAGAACTCTCATTCTATGGGATGAATACAAGAAGAGAAACATAGAAATATGAAATAAAAATGCTTTTTAAAATTAAGTACAAATATATTTAGCTCAATGCCATAAAGTGTGAAATTTACATTTTTCCTCAAGTATTGCTTTAAGTGAAGTTTAAATAAAAACTTTAATGTTATTATTTCTTGAAATTTAAATTTTTGATATGTGATTTAATTATTTCTCAAGATACAAAATTGGGGCCCAGTTGCTCCTCTTCCAGTCCAGCTCTCTGCTGTGGCCCGGGAAGGCAGTGGAGGATGGCCCAGGTGTTTGGGCCCTGAACCCGCATGGGAGACTAGGAGGAAGCACCTGGCTCTTGGCTTTGGATCGGCGCAGCGCGCCAGCTGTAACAACCATTTAGGGGGTGAACCAACGGAAGGAAGACCTTTCTCTCTCTCTCTCTCTCTCTCTCACTGTCTAACTGTGCCTTTAAAAAAAAAAAAAGATACAAATTTGGGAAGTGGAGAGTACATGCTAGATACTCTGACAAAATTTTAGTTGATTAAGCATATAGATTATAATAATTTTCCTATGAGGCACCAAAAACTTTGGATTCTTTAGGTACTGTTTGTATATATACAGTATATTATAAAATACCTAAATATTACTAAATATACAACTTACGAAATTATTTTTGTAATTATTTTTTTAATTTGTTAATATTTTATCTTTATTCAGTAAATAATCTGTTCTCTTTTGTTCAGGTTGAAGATTGTAAAAATTTCATTTAAATGCAAACAGTTTTTTATTCAGCTTAGAAAAGAATTGGTGAGTATTGATCTAATAAGTGATATAAATGAAGTCTTTTAAGAAATGCCCATTCATGATAGAACTTTTCTTTCATACAAGTGACAGTGCAAATACTACTGTTGATAATAGCCTGCTATTACAAGGTGTATTTGTTTCCCTAATGTACCTGTGATTTTTCTAGACATCTTGTCTGCTATCTCTTGAACTTAGAAATTTATTTGTCATATTTGGTGTTCATTGTCAGTCCCCAGGATTCTTTCATGAGAGCAGTAACTGGGCATTTTGTATATTTTTTTTCTACTAAATTTATAGCACTTCCTTTCATAAATAAGCTTGTTTCATTCTAGGTAAACTGATTGTTTAGTGTCTAGTCATTAACTCACCACATATTTCCTTTATATGTTTGAGTAGTAATGTCTTTTTATATGTTAGGATGATGAATTGTCATAGAAAGTACAGTGTTGGAAGTAATTTTGTCTCTTAAATGGTTTTATCTGTTTCATCAAATTAAACTAATTTTATCACTTGCTTTATATTATTTCTAAAAATTCTGAGAAATCTTGGCAGTGCAGATTTCAATATGGTTGTGTGTTTAAAATGTGTTTTAATCAGTTATATTTCATGAAAGGATGCTGATCTAGCAAGTTATTTGGTTTATCATTTATATTCATAAAATATGGAAGTTTTTTTCCCAAGAGACATTTTATTAAAATTAAGCATACCTTGGAAAAGTGCATATTTTAGGTATACAACTTGATAAAGTATCAGCTCTTCACAGATGAGTATGTAGAACATTACCCAGATTCTGATGATGTTGCTGACACCCATTTTTAGTCATTGCCACTCTCAAGAGAGAAACATTTGTATTTTCTGTATTTGTATCATTTGTATTTTCATGGATTTAGTTTGCTTATTTTTGAACTCTAAAAGAATGAAATAATATATGTCCTTTCTTTTTCCTTAACATTGTTTATCAGATTCATACATGTTGTTGCACGTAACATTAGTTTGTTCCATTACGTGTAGTGTTCTCTTGAATGAATGTACCATAAATTAGTTATCCATTCTTTATTAGTGAACAATTTTGCCATTTCCATATTGGTGATATTATGATTAATGCTGTTAATATTCTTATATGTTTTATTGAATATTTAGAGAAGTAAAATATAATAAATCTTATTAAATGGAAAACAGAACAAATCTTTAAGTAATTATCGATGGCACTGTAGATTTTTTTTTAATTTGCCTACTATTATAGTATTATTGGTAATAATGATAATAGTTATAATATCTGATATTTATTTAGAACTTACTTTATACCTGGTAATATACCAACCATTTTCATATCATTTAAGCCTCACACTCATTCTCTGAGGTAATGTATCAGTTTAGAATGTGTTTACCCACATTTAACAACAGCAGTAAAGTTCAGCTGACTAAAGATTGTGTACGGGTTATCTCTGCAGGTAACCCTTTTCTCTCTAAAGTGTCTCTCTGTTTTTAAATACTTAAACTTTATAGAATATGGGTGGATGTTTTGCTCAATAGTTAAAATATCACTTGGAATGCCTATATCCCATATCAGAGTGCCTGGGTTGGAGTCCTGGCTGCACTTGTGATTCTTGCTACCTGCTAACGTGCGTGAGAGACAGTAGTTGATGGCCCCATTACCTAGGTTCCTGCCATCCATGTGTGAAATCCAGATGGAGTTCCTGACTCCTGGCTTTGGCTGGCCCACCCCTAGCTATTGTGGGCATTTGGGGAGCAAACCAGCAGACTGGATGTCTGTCTCTCTCTCTCCCTTTCAAAGAAATAAAATAAACAAAAATCTTTTTTAAAGAGAAACATCAAAACAATTTTTTAAAAATTTTAATTAAATTTCATGCAATGTGTTTATCTCTCAGTACAACATTTTGGGTCCACTGTTTTCAAACCATGGGTAAATTATTTGTCGCTTTCCTAACACAATTCATAGAATGTCACAATCATATATAGCCATTTTGGAACGTATTCCAGGTGTCAAAGGCAGGGAGGGGTGCATGCATTTTAGATGTGCTGACATTGAAAAGCATTACTGTAACATACTCATCATGAGACATTCTTTGTTATTCTACATGATGCTTATGATATGTGATACGACATATAAACTATATTAAAATAAAAGATTGAAATTTGGACAATGTTAAAATTAATAACTTTTCATCAAAAGATATCATTTAGACAGTGAATGAGCAAATGTGTGTATGATATACATATTATAGAAGTCCTTGATTATATATACTATCTGTATATGTTAGTAACTTGACCAGACACTTCACACATGAGGATACATGACCACTAACATGAAAAGGTGTTGAATCTCATTAGTCATCATGAAGTTACAAATTATAACCAACATGTGCTACTTCTACATATTCACCATATAGAAAGACTGATTGTAGTTAGTATGTGGAGCATATAAAGGCTAATGGGAGAGAATATGTTTTCATCTAATCATTCTGGAAAACTGTTGGGCATTTTGTACTAAAGCTGAACATATGCATATCTTATGACCCAGAAATATACATTCATGTCTACCAGACAACAAAACAGAAATGTATATTTATAGTGTCATTATTTTTCTACCCCCAAACTGGAAACATCAAACGTCTGTCAGCAGTAAAGGGTGTAAGTAGGCTGTGGTGTATTCATTACAGTAGACTGCTAAGAGGAAGATAAGTGGGTGAGTTTCTGCTTCACAGCCACATGGATGTGTACCAGCAACGTGTTGAACAAAATAAGCCAGACCTAAAAATGTGTTTTGTGATTCAGTGTATATAAAATGATGAAAGTGAGAAGAATAATTAGCTTTGGGAATATAATGTGGTAGAAAAGGGAGACAAATATACATGTAAAGTGGTAGTGATGATCCATTTCTTGATCTAGGTTGAGGTAAAATGGTTCCATTCATTGTGTGAGAATCAGAACTGTACATGGATTGGATGTATATTTCTCTATATATAGTTTACTTCATTAAAAGTATTTAGTAATTTAACTTTTTTTTTTTTTTTTTTTTGACAGGCAGAGTGGACAGTGAGAGAGAGACAGAGAGAAAGGTCTTCCTTTGCCGTTGGTTCACCCTCCAGTGGCCGCCGCGGCCGGCGCACCACGCTGATCCGATGCCAGGAGCCAGGAGCCAGGTGCTTTTCCTGGTCTCCCATGGGGTGCAGGGCCCAAGCACCTGGGCCATCCTCCACTGCACTCCCTGGCCACAGCAGAGGGCTGGCCTGGAAGAGGGGCAACCGGGACTAGAACCCGGTGTGCCGGCACCGCTAGGCGGAGGATTAGCCTAGTGAACCGCGGCGCCGGCCCTAGTAATTTAACTTTTCAAGAACATTAAATGATAATACTTTAGAGTTAATTATTTTTATATATAATTCTAGAATAGTATTCAGAAGTGCTGAATGGCCTCCTTTACTTGTTTATAATAGAGAGGTTATGAAAACATGATGATATATCTTAAAGTTTAATTTGTAGGTCAGAATTTACATTTTGAAGCAAAACATAGTTAATAAGCTTTGAAAAACAAAGTTTCAAACCTCTAACTATGATCCAAGATAAAAGTTCCTAAGATTTGTGCTATTATTGAATGAGGTTCACATTTTATAAACCTTTCCATTTTACTGCTTTTTTTTTTTTTTTTTTTTTTTTTTTTTTTTGAAAACAAAAAAAGATCTTAGGAGGATTACTGTTTGTAAGGCTGGAATAATTTGCCAAAAGTAAATTAAATGGAACATTAGATACTGATGTTTTTTCAGTATTCTCTGCATTTTGTCATTTATTACAGCATGAATCTAGAGAAACGTTATTGGGATTCAATATGGTGAATTACCGAGCATGTAAAAATTTATGGAAAGCATGTGTAGAACATCACACATTCTTCCGTTTGGACAGACCGCTTCCACCTCAAAAGAATTTTTTTGCACATTATTTTACATTAGGTTCAAAATTCCGGTACTGGTAAGTATTGCTTCTGTATTAAGGCTTTATTGTTGAATTTTTTTTCTTCCTTTAATATAAAGTTCTAGTGTATGGAACCATAGAATCCTTGTTAGTAAACATAGCTACTAAGTCAAAATCCCAATGGAGTACAGCCTCTTAAGTTTTTATCAGTAAAAGTTCTGTAAGTTGTTGCGGTATACATCAGGCCTAAAAATCCTGTCCTGTTCACTATATTCCAGGTTATTATTTTCTAATGTAAATTACCAATATTTACTTATTATAGTCTAGACAGAAGTTATAATTTTCATTGTTTTCACTAAATACTTACATGAAAACTTTTCTTTGTTCTAAGACATTTATTTTATTCATAAAGCCAAAATATCTTCTGCATGAGTATATAATACTTACCACTTGATAGTAAACATATCTATCACTCCTATAAGTTTCCTCAAGTCTCTTTATAACCCCTTTCTCCCTCTTTAGTCCTCAGGCCACCACTTCATTCTGTTTCTGTAGATTGCTTTGAACTTTCTAGGGTTTTCTATAAATTGAAATGAACATGGAGTATTCTTTGTAGCCAACATAATTGTTTTTACTCAACATAATAATTTCCAGATTCATGTTGTTGACTGTATTGATAGTTCATTTCTTTTTATTCTTGAGTAGTATTCTATTGTATAGATGAACTATAATTTGTTCATTCATTTGATGATAGATGTCATGGGTTTTTAAGAGTTTGGACTATAAAGCTGCTGAGATCATGCATGTGGAAATCTTTGAATAGATGTTTGTTTTAATTTTTCTAGGGTAAATACCTAAGAATAGAGTGACTGAGTCATATCATAGATGTATGTTTTAACTTTGTAAGAAACTGACAAACTTTTTTTCAAATTAGTTGTACCATATATGTGCTCACTAGCAGTGTATGAGACTTCTAGCTTCACCGTATCTTCATCATTCTCTGCTATTATCTTTTCATTATGTTCCACTGTCTTCTGAAGAGAATTGTGATGAAATTCAGTTTACCAGTCTGTTATTTATGGGTCTTTTGTCATATCTGAGAAACCTTTGCTTGGTCCAAGGTCACAAAGATTTATTTTTCTGTTTTCTTCTAAGGGTTTTATAGTTTAGCTCTTACTTTTTGTTAGGCCTGGGATCCATTTGGATGTAATTTTTGGAATTCTAATTAGGATTGTGTTGAATCCGCATACCAATTTGGGGATAACTGAAATCTTAAAAAATTAAATCTTCTTGTTCATGAAACATGGTGTATTTTCTTCTTTAGTTGTCTTTTATTTTCCGAGGCAATGTTTGTAGTTTTCAGTGTACGTGTCTTTTTTGTCAAATTTATCCTTAAGGATTTAATGCTTAAGCATTTCATATTTTTTATCATATTACAAATGGAATTCCTTAATATTAATTTCAGATTGTTCATTGCCTTTAGATAGAAATACAATTGGTTAACTTGTTGGATTTATTGGCATGAAGTTTATAAATATTCCCCTTTGTCTTTCTAATATTTCCAGAAACTGTAATAAGGTCACTTCTCTCCTTGATACTGATACCTGATCAGTCTTACTAGAGATTTATCAGTTTGGGTTAAGTATTTTTTTTAATATTTTTAATTTATTTATTTGACAGATAGAGTTACAGACAGTGAGAGGGAGAGACAGAGAGAAAGGTCTTCCCTCCGTTGCTTCACTCCCCAAATGGCCGCAGCGGCCAGCACTGCGCTGATCCGAAGCCAGGAGCAGGGTGCCTCCTCCTGGTCTCCCGTGTGGGTGCAGGGGCCCAAGCACTTGGGCCATCCTTCACTGCCCTCCTGGGCCACGGCAGAGAGCTGGACTGGAAGAGGAGCAACTGGGACTAGAACCTGGCGCCCATATGGGATGCCGGCGCCGCAGGCGGAGGATTAACCTAGTGCGCCATGGAGCCAGGCCCCCTGGGTTAAGTATTTTAAACAGTGTGTATACCAAATAAAACTTTTCTTCAGGCTTGTATGGCTTGTGGGCCACCCTTTGCCTACCAAGTCCTAAAGAATAAAAAGGTGACCAAAACATATTTTAAAATCTGTCAAATATAGAACCCCTGACAACCTTGAGAATGATTACAGACTAGAATTAAAATGGTGTAAACTTTAACAAAGTAAAATAAATAATACAGCAAAAAGAAAAAGTGGAAGCAAGGGACTAGTGGGAGGAAATATTTTAATGCCTATTAATAATAATTTGAAATAGGTGGTTTTTAAATGCCCAATTTATTAAGATTTTCTTAATCTTTTTTCTGTATTTTATTTTTGATTAGCAGTAGTCTTTTTCTTTCTTTTAATTCAGAGGAAATCAGGGTGTTTTCCATTAAAAGTGACATATATACAGTCGTAACATTATAATAAAATTATACCTGTCATGTTTCTAGCATTTTCTGTGTATACAGTGAATTTCAGAATGATTTCTACTTGCTCATAATGGTGATGATTTCTTAGGGAGGGAACTGTGGCTAAAAATATACATAGCGAATTGTTTGATTTGCTCCTTTTGCAGTGCTTTTTTGTGTTGTTTGAATTACTTACAACAGGTGTGTGTATACCTGTATATAAAATCCTTTCACAATTGGTACTTTCTCAGTGCTCAGAAGATAAGTAACTTACTGGTGATACTGAGTGTTCTGAGACTGGTGCAGTTTTGCATTTCATTCTTAGTACTGAAGTCAGGGGTTCCAAAAGGCATATGCAAGGGTGTATTATGTAAAAGCTATGCATGGATTTCAGAATTGTTGCACTAAAATAAACATTTTTAATTCCATTTTCCACAAATATAGCTACTTTAGTATTACACAGATTTCTGCCATTTTCAAAATGCTCCTTCTTTGTTGTGAAATTCAACTTACTCATCCAGCCTTTAGAGTAATAGTGTTCCATTGAATCTTCTTCAGTGGAAAATGGATGTTATCAGTCATGGTTTAGTCAGGGAAACAAAAAGTCCTTGATATTTCAAACAGAAGCAGTGTAATTAAGGTAATTGGTTACACAGCTATTGGCAAGGCTAGGAAAGCAAAGGAAGAGGCTTATAGAGAAGCAAATGGGAAGAAGTGGGTAATGCCAAAGGATCAGAACCTGTGTCACAGGGCCAGGGTTGTAGCACAGCAGGTTAAGCCTCTGCTTGCAACACTGGCATCCCCTATGGGTGCTGATTTGAGATCCAACTACTCCACTTCCGATCCAGTTGCCCACTAATGTGCCAGGGAAAACAACAGAAGATGGCCCAAGTGTTTGGACCCTTGCAATCACATTGGAGACCTGGAAGAAACTCTGGGCTCCTAGTTTTTGCTTGGCTCAGCCCTGGCCGTTGCTGCCATTTGGAAAGTGAACCAGCGGATGGAAGATTCTCCCCCTACCTCCATAACTCTTTCAAATAAATATTAAAAAAAAAAAAAAAGAAAGAAAAGAAAAACCTATGTCACTTCGAGGCTGGAGTCCACAAGCCTAGACACACTATTAGAGCCATTGTCAGAGCTAGTTCTGGATCCGCCAGAGAAGTGCTGCTCTACTCAAAGATGGAGCCATCTACGTGATGCTTATTTTGCCCTTCCCTTGTCCCCACAACTGTTAAAGCAACTATCAGCATCTTCAGCTAGTCCTGCTCTGCCTTTCTCTACTCTCTGATCTTCTATCAGTGCCTTCTAGAAGCAGAACCTAACAGAAAGCAAAGGGCAAAAGAATCTAGAAAATGGAGTTTGTTGACTTACAGCCCCTACAGAGCAGAAGGAAAGTACATTAGGGCCTACAGTAGCTCAGTTCATATTAAATTAATGTGTGTATCATATTTATAAGTTTAGAAGTTTTGTGATTAAAAACTTTTTAAAATATATCTAGAGGTTTATCCGAGGCACAATTATTGCTAATTAAAATATATCTAAAAGCAATTTTTAATCATCAAAATGATTAATGAAGTTGTAAGTGAAGTAAGAATGTCAGTGTGATGAATGTTTAGCTGGATGCAGTCTTATCCCTAATAGATTTGCCCTAAATAAATTATTTTTCCTTATAATAACCAATTGTCAGGAATATTAGAACTGTGTCACACTTATAAGGTTAGTATGTTATTTAGACAGAAAGGTGGAATTGGATATGTCAGAGGGATTTATTGCTTTCTCCACCAGCTTCCTTATAGACAAACCCTTATCTCATTACAAAGTATTTAAGGAATTGAAATCACTAATATAGAAATATAAAATAATGTTGAACCTTAATTTGTTACCTTCTTAGAAGAAATATAATTTTTAAGGAAACAGCGACTTAGCAACATTTAAAAATCATGCTTGGGTGGGCATTAGTGCTAGTGCTTAAGATACTGGTTGGCCACCCGTGTCACACATCAGAGTGCCTGGATTCAATACCCACCTCTGGCCTGGAAGGCAGCAGTGATGGCTCAAGTAGTTGGGTACCTGCCATACATGTAGGAGAGCTTGATTGAGTTCCCAGCTGGCAGCTTTGGCCTGACCCAGCCTTGACTGACCATTAAGGGCGTTTGGGGATCTCTTGATACCTCTGTCTCTGTCTCATGTGTGTACACTCCCTCTCCCATCTCTGCACCTCAAGAAAAAAAATAGTGCTAATGTTTCTCATTTTTCCATAACATAAGCATGCCATTCAGTTCTCATTTATTTATACCTATGTGATGATCTAAAAGCCACTTATTTAGCCTTAGAAACCTGCATTTGGCTGCTTTTACATGTTTCAGATAGCTACATTTATAGTGGTTGTATTTGATGTACTAGGAATTTGTGTTCAGTAACACTTAAGTTATGAGCTTCCATGAGCAAATTATCTGAGAACCAAGCTTTATTAGCAAAGTTAATTTGAACATATTGTTGTGCCATAAAGGAGAATCCTTTACCCTGCATAAATATATGCTTGCTAGACTAATAAACTTCAGGACAGATCTCCTACTGCCCAACCTCCACAATGTTTCTGTCCTTAATTCCTTCCCATATGCAGAAATCTGCAGTTGCCAAAATGTGGACATGGAAGGAGTTGACGGTATAAGCATTCTTCATGTCTGTGATCATTAGCAATAGAAAAGGAAAAATAGCTTGCCCAAAGAAAGTAGTTCTCCAGGATTCATTAAGGAGTGATGGAAACACTAGCTAACTCTCAGACTTGAAGAGGGATGGCAGGGCTGGCGGTGTTTACTTGAGTTGGAGCATGACCATCTATCTCTGACCCTTGACAGAGTATCTTCAGAGAGAAGAATTCCTCTTGTGCAAAATTATTTCTCCCATGTTGGCTCTTAATTAAGAAGTAGCAAGAAGAGGCTGGCACCGTGGCATACTGGGTTAATCCTCTGCCTGTGGCACCGGCATCCCATATGGGCGCCAGTTCTAGTCCCTGTTGCTTCTCTTCCAGTCCAGCTCTCTGCTATGGCCTGGGATGGCAGTGGAGGATGGCCCAGGTCCTTGGGCCCCTGGATCCGCATGGGAGACCAGGAAGAATCTCCTGGCTCCTGGCTACAGATCAGCGTAGCTCTGGCTGTTGTGGCCATTTGGAGAGTAAACCAATGGAAGGAAGACCTTTCTCTCTGTCTCTCTCTCTCTCACTGTCTGTAACTCTTCCTGTCAAATAAATAAATCTTTAAAATAAAGAAATAAAAAACAAAGAAGTAGCAGAAAGTGAAACGTCTGTGAAGTGTATGTTCCTAATGGAAGGACTGTAAATAAACTTCGTCTGTCCAAGTGGAACTGGAATGTCGTCCAGTCTTTCCTTCCTACTCTGCTTTTTCTGTGCTAGAAATGCCCTGCCTTTTATGAAATGGTAATGTTATCATGTTGTGTGTTGACACTTTATCTTATAGTTCTCTTTAAGATATTGTTGTGTATATTTGTGTATTTCAGTGGGAGAACTGAAGTCCAATCAGTTCAGTATGGCAAAGAAAAGGCAAATAAAGACAGGGTATTTGCAAGGTAAGCTGATTTTACTTCAGTATCTGATTTTTTAAAAAGAAGTATTAAAATTAACTTTTCTAAGTGGTTATAGAATTACCACATCCTTTCCTATATTATGTTGAGAGAATGATACATTTATTGATTCATTTTATATGTGCATTTACCCTGTGCCAAGCACTGTAGCTCTGAATAAGCTAAATCAAGTTATCATATTATGAATATAACATTTTGTTGGAAGATTAGTCTCCTATTTTAAACATCGTTATGTTATCCAGCTCACTTCTCTGTTTAAATCATATCATTAAGAGACAGAGAAATGGCTTTTTATTTGTTTGCCATTTATTTCTTCATTTTTCTAAGAATTTGTTAGAGCCAGTTTGCCTTTTAACTAGTGAAGTTACATGATCAGTTACATTTTAGAAAATAGTTTTATGAACAAGGGTAGAGAATGGTCTGGTAAGTAGAGACTGGGTACCCAGAGACAAAACCAGAATTTAATTGCAGTAGTCCAAGTGAAAATAATAAAGGATGGAGATGGAATGGAGACTAGGGAGCAAGTCTGAGGGAGCTCGCAAAAGTTGATGACCAACTGGGTAGAGGTATGTTAGAGACAGGAGTTTGTCTTTAGTGGAGACAGCTTACATAGGGTAAGTCTTTTAATAGCTGTGTGCTTGGTATCTACTGCTCTTGGAGGCTTGAGAATGTTCATAAGAAGAACGACGGGATGTTGCTTTTGATTTTACTTTGTTTAAATCTTGCTCTTAGTATTTATCCAGATAACTCTCCTATTCTGTGTTTCTGAAGGAGATTTTCCCTTCCCTCCAAAAGTTGAAACTATTCCTTTTTCCTAGTAATGGAAATGATAGTCCATTTTAAAACCCCACCAGTGTCAAATAACAAAGAAAAACTGACATCCCAAAACAATCAATTAAAATTTGGAGGGGATAGTTTTTAATTTGAGATTTGTTTCCACATATATTCACAAAGATATTTATATGTATGTATATACTTGGTTTAAAATAGTTTCATTTATTTTATTGCTTGCTTTTATCACAATATATATCATGCAGATTTTCTTTGCTGCTGAAAGTTTAATAATTTATACCGGCGATAAATCTTTTAACAGCTAAATGTGCTTATCATAATCTAGATGTTAACTTTAGAATTCCTGCCTTGGCCCTGTCCTGCCCTCAGAGTAGGAGCTGCTGCTAGCACTGTCTGAAGCTGTCACAGTAGTATGTTCTGCAAGATGGGAAAATTAATAAAGAATACCATGTGCTCCTTGAAGTAAGGACATTTTAAACAAACAAGCAAAATACTGAAACACATGTTTAGTTTGTTTGAATAATAAAACTTACCTTTTTTTTTTTTTTCTTCATTCTGGGTTGCTATCATCCTGGTTCTCTGATTAATCTACTGAACAGGAAGACTGTTAGTGACAATGTCTTGATGTGGCAAGCATTCAGCTGGTCAGAGCTGTGGTGTTTGGCTGTGATTAGCTAACTTGAATTTGCATTACATAATTTATTTTAGAACTTGCTCAAAAATGTTTTAAATCTTTAAAGAAAAGTTTTAAAATCAATGTGTCTTGATTTTAGATTTATGAGAAATATAGTAATTTTGTCTATTAAACATAAATCTTAACTTAGACACTAATGTGGCATTATTTTGGAAGGGAAACAAAAGAATACAGAGATGCTAATAGACATGACCACAAAAATTATTCACAATTTTCTCCTTTTGCAGTTTCAGATACCATGGTACCCAGTTAGGAAGTAGGAAGACTTGTACAAAGATGCAATGTACAATAAAATGTTAATATGAAATTATTTTCCTTGTAATTGCTCTTGGTGAAGAAACCATTTATTTCCTATCAGTTTCATTGTTTTCATTTTTAATGTGTTTGTTACAGGTCTTAGTACTGTAACTTATTTGTTACACTCATTTCAACACTTGTCAAAATCAGAATTTATTTTTCTTATTCTAATTTTTGTAACTACACCATAACTATATACTTAAACCATTTTAATCCTACTCTAACAATAAGTTTAACTTTTTTCTTACTTGATATTTATTTTAAAAAACAGAACATGTGATTTAATGACTAGTTGTACTTTATAATAGTATGATGTCCCAATTTGACTACCAAATAACAGGTGTATTTGCATATTAAGCTTAGTATCACATGCAAATTATTACTTTTAAGTGTTACTTTAATATTTTTGACCATATAAGATTTTAAATATATGCAGTTACACCTGCATCTTAGCTTTCATTTTATATATCTGTTAGTAAAACATATACTTATCAGGTTATTTGATAGAATAAATATACATTGACAGTAGTGTTGCAATTCCAATATGACAAGCCTAGTATGACTCTCCCATTCCTTTTGTTTTGCTAAAATTCTGTGAATTTTTGTTGAAATAAGTCATCAACGGGGAAGAGATTATAACAGTACTAGGCTGTTTTAATGATCCCTTTATCTCTGCAAGACTAAGCTTTTGTGGGATTGTTTTTCTAAAATACCAACATTTTGTTCTGATGTCTTGATATATGTCTACCAAAATTTTCTAATGCTTTTAGCAATTAATAAGTTACTTATTAAATTATTAAGTTACTATGTATTAGGGAATTCTAGAATTCACGTCATTCTTAGAATTTGAGTTGGCAGTGAAAAACTCAGAAAATATTTCTGCTTATATCATTAGTATGACAAGATTTTTTGATGATGATATTCTTTTTTTCTTATACATGATCTCTGAATTGCTGTCACACTTTTTCATTTGTCATATAATAATATCTAAAAAGAGAACAAAACAGTGTTTTTATACAATACAAAAGTAAGATGCCATAGTCAGAAAATAAGTTTACCACATTGCAAACACAGTGATCAGTGTGGTATGTTTTTCTCTGAAATTTCCACACTCAACAGGAAACATAGACAGCAAGTCTGAGTGGGTGGGTCTCTGAGGTTAAAACTGTTAATAAAGAAATACCTGAAATTTGGTTTTAAATTCAAAACATTTCCAAACGTATTCAGTCCATCAACAGCAGTAACGTTTCCTGACGTTTTATACTTGGTGAGTGTGCTAGATTTTCTTCCTTCAAATGACTTTCTCCTTCTCTTAGAAAATGAAAGTAGTTGATCTCCTGACTATAGTTAGTGAGCCCTCTCATGGCTCACATTTAATACTCTGATATATGAGGAAAGAATAGCTTTATAACATTAAGAATTAGCATTAATAGAAAAGCCACAAAGGCTAAGTTATGGTAAGTTTACAATGCTATTTTAGAAACTGAGTGCATGGTATCATATACTTGATCACTATTTTGTTGTGCCTGAAAGGCTCCTTTTTGCACTGCAATATGAGAAAGTAGGACTAAATGGTATCCTGTGTTGTCAAAAAAAATCCTATGATTTAAACCCATAATGATGGAAAGTGTTCATACTTAATTTACTTTGAATTCACTTACGAAAAGTAAAATCTGATCAGCGTCCCTTTTAGCTAATAACATTACATCTCTTTAGAAAATGCCCATTAGTGTTTAAATTAAGAGGATATTATTATGTGAAACTAAAAAGGTTTTGGCTATGAGTTACTGCAAAGACAGGACACTGAGGTGGTTTGGATTCTTCAGTAACTTAAGTTATTCATGGTGTAGTAAAATTGATAGGCTACATCATTACATTAAAATTTTAGATACTCCTAAATCATAACATTTAAGAGGTAGAGAAGGATCTAAGAATCATATTGTATCAGTAAATGCAGTTATTTGGATATAAAAACTTAAATAATTTGTTTAATAAAAGGCCAGAGCTAGGATTCAGTATAAATGCGCATTATTTTCATGCTTCCTGCTATGTATGCAACACTTTGTCAGATATCCTTTGGTCAGTATTATCATGCTTTTTTAGTTTACTATAGTTCTTTTTACATGTGTAACATATTGAAAAAGGTATTTTAGGCAACAAGCCACTGCAAACTTAATGATATTAGAATTTTATTATATAATCTCATTAAAGGTTTATTCTTTTAATTTTTAAATTTATTTTCATTTGTATTTGGAAAGGCAGAGACAGAAAGAGAACTTCTATCCTGGTTCACTTTCCAAATGCCCACAACAGACACAGCTGGGCCACACTGAAACCAGGAGACCAGAACTCAATTTGGGTCTCCCACGTGCTTGTAGTACACCTATGTGGGAAGCTGGATCAGCAGCAGAGTAGCAATGACTTAAACCAGGCCTTCTAATATAGGATGTGGGTATCTCCAGTGGCAACTTTTTTTTTTTAAGGATTTCTTTTATTTGGAAGAAGGAGTTACAGAGAGAGAGAATTCTTCCATCCACTGGTTCACTCCCCAAATGACCGCAACAGTCAGAGCTGAGCTGATCTGAAACCAGGAGCTTTTTCTGAGTCTCCCACGTGGGTGCAGGGGCCCAAAGACATGGGCCATCTACTGCTTTCCCAGGCCATAGCAGAGAGCTGGATTGGAAGTGGAGCAGCCGGGACTTGAACCGGCGCTGATATGGGATGCCAGCGCTGCAGGCCCGGGCTTTAACCTGCTGTGCCACAGCGCGAGCGCCTCCGGTGGCACCTTAACTAGTAAACCAAATTTACCTGCCCTAAAGTTTTAATGTATTGGGTAACTTAATATCACATTTGCTTTATGCCTTGATAATTTTTAAAAATCCATACAAAAGCACGTGCATCGTATATGAGAAGAGGGAAAAAATGATGGTCAACTTTAAGAGAAAAAAAATCTTGATGAGCTAAAAAGTACAGTACTAATCACAATTCCTTCTTACTATTGGAAAATATGAAAGTAAATCCAAATTCACATAATGAAGACCTATGAATCCTGTGAACTGTAACCAAAAATAGTCTTTGTTTTTAACTTTACACAAATAGGTGCTTTCTCTAAATTTCTCTGATCTGGTTTTTGTAGTTAGATAACAGGAGCTGTTTTTATTTTTCTTGTGCTATAATGAAAAACAGTAATTTTTATACGCTTCAGTGAATTTATTACTGAAATATAAAACTGCAGGATGATTTATTGCAGTTTTATAAAATAGCTTAATTTGTTAAGTTAGCTGCCATTTGAAAACTGAATATAAAAAAGCTAGACCTGCAAGAGGCTCCTGGCTCCTGGCTCCTGGCTCCTGGCTCCAGGCTCCAGGCTCCAGATCGGCCCAGCTCTGACCATTTCAGCTATTTGGGAAGAGAAACAGCGGTGGAAGACTTTGTCTCTCCCTCTCCCCACCTCCCCCTACCCTTCCCTCCCCCTGCCTCTGCCTCTCTGTAACTCTGCCTTTCAAATAAATAAATAAGTCTTAAAAAAAATAATTAGGGGGCCCAGTGTTGTGGCACAGCAGGTTAGGCTGTTCCTTTGACACTGGGCATCCCATATGGGCACCAATTCATGTCTCAGCTGCTCCACTTCTGATCCAACTCCCTGCTGATGCACCTGGGAAAGCAGTGGAGGATAGCTCAAGTACTTGGGCCCCTGCACCCATGGGGAAGACCAGTATGAAGCTCCTGGCTTCAGTCTGGCCCAGCCCTGGCTTTTGTAGCCATTTGTGGAGTTAATCAGTGGACAGAACATCTCTGTCTCTCTCTGCATCTTGTCTCTCTAACTCTGCCTTTCAAAGAAATAAATATATATCTTTAAAAAAATCACTCAGTTCTCATCTTAATCACTCTGATAGCTGACAATTCCTGGATAGGCAATAAAGCATTTTTAACTCACTACCTCATGACAGAATAGTTAACCTTTCAAAATGTTTTTGTAAAAATCAAAAGAAAACCCACTGACCAGTTATATGTTTAGAAAATGATAAAGTGCAATATGCATAATTATTAGTTTTGTTCTCTCCATGGAAGCAGAGGATTGAGACATTCAGAAGATAATATGTAGAACTTACTTGATACATTCCAAGACAAGCTAGATTTCCAGAAAATCTGCAGTAGCAGTCACCAGTATTGATAAGGTTGATAACATCTGAGAAAATGTCTGATAGCAAACTGCTCCCTTACATTTTTCCTTTCTCTTTTCTTGTTTCTTCTGTTTTTCTTCTCCTCCTCAGTTTCTATCCTACTGTTCCTGGCCTTTTCTTTGCTTCTTCATATAAAGCGAATGTACATTTTTAGGAAATTATTTGATAAATAGCCACTAAATGAATTAATTTATCATAAGTAAACTCTTTATGTTGACTCACCTAGGACATAAGCTATTAAACCAAATTTAGGATTTTTTTCTCATGGTTTAGGGTATTAAAATAAAATTATTTTATTTCTCCAGATCCCCAAGTAAGCCCTTAGCACGAAAATTAATGGATTGGGAAGTAGTAAGCAGAAACTCAATATCTGATGACAGATTAGAAACACAAAGCCTTCCATCACGGTCTCCACCTGGAACTCCTAATCAGTAAGTACAAACCAATACCAGGTGAGCATTTTGCTAATTTCTAAATTACTGTGTGTCTCTTGCCTGAAAATGAGGATATATAGAAAGAGCACTCTTTTGGTCACATGTGTTCTTCATTACTCCAGGACATTATTTCCTCTACCTGCCACTTGTTTTTGTGGAATAAGGGAATACAGCATTAAACAAAGAACTCTAGTTTCCCCAGAATTGACTTGCATAGTAAGGGTCCCTTGTCAATAAATCAAAATCTGTTCATAGACTCAAAATCTTTGAGTTGTTTTTGCCATAATCCTTTCCCTTTAAATTCCCAGCAGAATCTCTAAGGGAGCATATATTGTTTGAAAATGCTTTCCAAGTGATTGTGATTCTCTTCAGTTCCCACCCAAATAATTTTTTCTAATCAACCTTATAATTAAGAAACTTGAGAAAAGGGAATTGAAGTGTGTTTTTGTTGTTTTCTGTCTTCATTAGTCGAAATTCTGCGTTCACGCAAGAGGGAACCCGGTTACGACCGTCTTCAGTTGGCCATTTGGTAGACCATGTGGTTCATACTTCCCCAAGTGAAATTTCTGTGAATCAGCGATCTCCATCTTCAACACAGGCCAACAGCATTGTTCTGGAATCATCGCCGTAAGAGACTTTTTTTTTCATTTTGCTTCCACATTTTGTATTTTTAAATGTCCCAAATTGCTTCATTTGAAGTAATCTGGGAAATTAGGGTTTTTGGTGCAAGATTTTATTTATGCTATTTTTGGAAATATGTATTTTTTAAAAGATTTATTTATTTATTTTAAAGAGTTAAACAGAGAGAGAAGGAGAAGCAGAGAGAGAGAGAGAGAGATCCTCTGTCCTCTGGTTCACTCCCCAAATGACCACAACAGTCAGAGCTGAGCTGATTGGAAGCCAGGAGCCAGGAGCTTCCTCTGGGTCTCCCACGTGGGTGCAGGGGCCCAAGGACTTGGGCCATCATCCATTGCCCTCCCAGGCCATAGCAGAGAGCTGGATCAGAAGTGGAGCACCCAGGACTCGAACCAGCTGCCCATATGGGATGCTGGCACTGTAGGTAGCTTTACCTGCTACGCCACAGTGCTGGGCCTGAAAATGTATACATTTATAAATGTACTTACTTGTTCCTGAGATTTCTTGAGGCCTTTTCCTGCTACCTAATCCCTATTTTTTTTATTTTTGCTGAATATAGTCATAAATTTCTGCAAATAATGTAGCAATGTGATCAGAGAATAAAGAAATATAAGATTTCTTAATATTTCTTGAAAGATAACCTAACAGTGAGTGGACAGTGTTGAGAAAATTAAAAGAAAAAGTTGAGTGACCAGCTCAGTGAATAAGTGATAGAAAACATGCACACTCCCGCTTTTCTGTCTCTCCTTCTCTGTAACTGTCAAAATATAAATAAACCTTTAAAATTAAAATAGAAAGCATGCACATGTCTTTTTTTAAAATGTGTTTATTTATTTGAAAGGCAGCGAGATCTTCCATCCACTTTTTTTTTTTTTAAGATTTATTTATTTATTTGAAAGAGTTACACGGAAAGAGGAGAAGCAGAGAGAGAGAGAGAGAGAGAGAGGACATCTATCTGCTGGTTCACTCCCCAATTGGCCACAATGGCCAGAGCTGTGCTGATCAGGAGCCAGGAGCTTCCTCCAGGTCTCCCCCGTGGGTGCAGGGACCCAAGTTCTTGGGCCATCTTCCGCTGCTTTCCCAGGCCGTGGCAGAGAGCTGGATCGGAAGTGGAGCAGCCGGGTCTCAAACCGGTGCCCACATGGGATGCCAGCACTGCAGATGACAGCTTTACCAGCTATGCCACAGTGCTGGCCCCCATCCATTGGTTTACTTCCCCAGTTGGCTGCAATTGGCAGCAGGGCTAGGTGAGCCTGAAGTGAGGAGACCCAGTTTGGGTCTCCATTGTATGTGGCAAGTACTCAAGTACTTGCTGCCTCCCTGGTGCATTGCCAGATAGCTAGATCAGAAAATTCCAACCACTCTGATATGGGATTCAGGCATCCCAAGCAGCAGCAAACAGTGTCTTAACCTATGTGCTACATTGCCCTCCACTGCACAAATTATTTCTAAAATCCATTCCTGGGATGGCTGTTGTGGCACAGTAGCTTAAGCCACTGTTTGGGATGCCTGCATCTCGTATTGGAGTGACTGGTTTGAGACCCAGCTATTCCTCACTTCCAATCCGGATTCCTGCTGATGTACCTGGGAGGCAGTAGGTGATGGTCCAAGTGCTTTGTTGCTTTCCTGCCACCCATGTGGGAGAACAGGATGGACTTCCTGGCTCTTGTCTTCCACCTGGCCCAGCTCCAGCTGTTGTGGGCATTTAGGGAGTAAACCAGCAGATAGAAAATCGAGCTCTCTTTCTGTCTCTCTCTGTGTCACTCTTCCTTTCAAATAAATGGATAAAGAAATATTTTTTAAAATAAAATCCATTCCTACCTTATATTGGCATACTGGTTAATACATAAATTCAACTTCTTATTTCAGTGTTAATACTATATCAGTGTAATGTATAACCTGCTTATTCTCACACTAATATGCAAAATCTTGATTTATTGGCTTATATAATACAAATAGCTTATGCAAACAAAAACACAGTGGAAGAATTGGGGAAGAAAGTAAAATAGAAGATAAATAGATAAGAAAACTCATTAATTATTGAAAAGGAGAAAGAGATATAATAATATAATAGAGACTGGTCAGATTTAAAGAAAGGATGGATCTGAGTGATGGGTGGAAGAAAGGAAGATTGGTTGGGCCGGCGCCGCAGCTCACTAGGCTAATCCTCCGCCTAGCGGCGCTGGCACACCGGGTTCTAGTCCTGGTTGGGGCGCCGGATTCTGTCCCGGTTGCCCCTCTTCCACGCCAGCTCTCTGCTGTGGCCAGGGGGTGCAGTGGAGGATGGCCCAGGTGCTTGGGTCCTGCACCCCATGGGAGACCAGGAAAAGCACCTGGCTCCTGGCTCCTGCCATCGGATCAGCGCAGTGCGCCGGCCGCAGTGCGCCGGCCGCGGCGGCCATTGGAGGGTGAACCAACGGCAAAAGGAAGACCTTTCTCTCTGTCTCTCTCTCTCACTGTCCACTCTGCCTGTAAAAAAATAAAAAAATAAATTAAAAAATTAAAAAAAGAAAGGAGGATTGGTCAGGAGAGCAGTTAACACTCTGGAAAAACCATGAAAAGATTCAAGTGCCCTAGCTGGACTTCGGTAGAGCTAACCAAGGAAGACTGACTAAGCCATCAAATAGGAAGAGGTTTAGTCATGTAGACATTACAAAGAATGGGAAATAGGACAGACAACACACTGCTCAGTGACCCGTGGGGAACGAGTTGGCAAGAGATAGAATTAATGGAAATTTGATATTTCATTATTTTAACATTTCTAAACATTTGTTGGTTTTCTAATTCTGTAACTTTAAAAAGTGTCATGCATAGTAATTAAGGGACAATGATTTAAAAATCACATATTCCCATGAGATAATATATATGAATCAGATTCAAAAGCCCCCAGAATCATTGCCCTCACCCCTTAAGTGCCTTTGTTCTGCTTTTCTGACCTGAAATGAGAGAACAATTCAAGGTGGATTAGAGTTTTGTTTCCTGTCCTTAGTTCTCAAGAATTTAAGATCCTTGGAGCTTTCTCCTTAGGCATGTATTTTATAAGGCATAAATATGTGTTTTTATTCATTTGAAAGTTAGAGTTACACAGAGAGAGGAGAGGCAGAGAGAGAGAAAGAGAGAGGTCTTCCAAAGCCAGGAGCCAGGAGCTTCTACCAGGTCTCCCACATGGGTGCAGGGGCCCAAGGACTTAGGCCATCTTCTACTGCTTTCCCAGGCCATAGCAGAGAGTTGGATAGGAAAAGGAGCAGCCAGGACTAGAACCGGCATCCATGTGGGATGCAGGCGCTTCAGGCCAGGGCGTTAACCCATTGTGCCACAGTGCCAGCCCTTGTATTTAATTTTGACTCTAACACTGCATTTGAAGTTCAGCCAGATTTAATTTCAAGAATAATGAGAGAGTTTTGAAAAAATAAACTTAATGATAAAATTATGATAATATACATTAGTTGTGTATGGTCAGATTTTACATAAATGATCTCACAGTTCAATTCAAGAGAACTCAATGAAGTAAGAAAAATGAATTGTCCCAGTTGACAAAACAAAAACTCTGTATCCCAAAAAGACTTTGTTGATTTTTTTTCCTTGCAACTTACAGACAATATTTTGTTATTCCACATTTATAGATTTTAGTTTTACCATCAGCTAAACATTAAAAAAATTCAAGCAATATGTTGGATTAAGCACAGCAAGAATGTATACAAGGGCCACAGTGATAATAATCTTCCAGTTATTCTGAGCTAAATTATGTTGGGATAATAAATGAGCTTAATTTACAGTGACTTACAGCAAAGGTAATCCCTTTTTTACATTATATGTATATCATGGGTGAGCTGTGACTCTTCTCCACATTTTCTTTATTCCATGGCCAAGACTGAAAGCAGTTCCCAGTTTGGAACATGGCTAGTCTCATGACCAAGGATAAGAAAAAGAAGCTTAATGAGCTGTTTCTTAAAACTTCCTTTCATAATGACACATACCACTCCTTTTCACATTTCTTTGACCTAAACCAAGTCACATGGCCAAGCCTGATGTTGGGGTGGAGGATGTAAATATTTAGAACAACAATATAATCTAATACAGTTCACTTTCTAAAAGCCTTATAGCTTAGGTATTAGGCGTCTTTTGTCAATCAACAAAAGTGAGTAGATACTGGGAAAAGTCTCTGCCCAAGTACCACAACAGCAGCCAAGTGGCTTGACACAGCAGCTGTCAACTCTCTCACCAGTGCTTAGGCTCAATGAGGGGATGATTCTTATTTTTTAACAGTATATTTTGTTTATCCAAATATGCCTAAAATGAGAGGTGGTAATTTTCTTTTCCCAGAGGACCACCTGCCTTCCTAGAGATAGATAACTCCAATGATGGTCAGTGCTGTTATCAAGAAATATTTTCTCTTTCCTGTTTTGTTACTTTCTTCCAAACTCCACAATTTCCATAGATGTGTGTTCCCTAGGACACAAGTTGAACCACTGGGTCCCCCTTCTGGCCTTTGTGGAAAATTCACAAGTAATGTTATGCATACTACACTTGTTCTTAAAAGCTATAGTTTCTGGCTCCATGGCACAGAGGATAAACCACCACCTGAGATGCAGGCATCCCACATGGGCAACAGACCAGTTCGAGTCCCAGCAGTTCCACCTCTTATCCAGCTCCCTGCTAATGCGTCTGGGAAAGCAGCAGCAAATGGCCCAAGTGCATGGGCCCCTGCCACCCATGTGGGTGATCCTGGTGGAATTGTGGAATTCCAGGCTTCTGGTTTCATTGGGGCCATTTGGGGAGTGAACCAACAGTTGAAAAATCTCTCCATCTTTTGTAACTCTGCCTTTCAAATAAATAAATAAATCTTCAATAAAAAAAAGTAACAGTTTCTACCTTGAAATTTCTGCTATCATACTTACCTTTTCTTATCAATTTCTGCTGCCACAAATAGAGCCTTATACTCCGTTAATTGGAGTTTTGCCTTCTCACCTTAAGTTATAGACTCTGATCAGATGTAGTTTTGTCTCTTCAGTGATGATTCAACACTCCTCCAGTATTTGTCACATCATTAAGTTCATTGCTTCTGTGATTGTGTTTTATTTCAAAATAGAATAAGGCAATCACTTCAGTTCTTTATACTGTACTAGGTGTTTTTATCTGTGGAACAGCCCAATTTTCAATTTGGGATTTCTCTTTGCTTTATTTTTTGGCTACCCATGACTCCACTGCAAACTTTAAAAATTTGTGGGGAGGGAAAGGTGTGTACATTGTTATAGCAAATTAATAAGTATCTTCATAGGAATAACTTTGAAATGCATTTTAATATATAATTATTTACAGATTTAAGAAAGTGAAATTAGATTTACTAGTATACAAGGGAAAGAAACTTTAAAAACGTAAGAAAATTTTCAAATAGCATTTGCAAGTGATATGTTTAAGGCCTGCCTCCTGCTAGACCTTGTCTATACCTGGGTCACTTGACTCTAATTTTTAAAAAAAAGTTGTGTAAGACAACTTCCAAAATATCACTCTTCCTTCTTTTTTTTCTTGTTTAGATCACAAGAGACCCCTGAAGATGGACAGCCTCCAGCTTTACCACCAAAACAATCTAAGAAAAATAGTTGGAACCAAATTCATTACTCACATTCCCAACAAGATCTGGAAAACCATATTAATGAAACATTTGATGTCCCATCTTCCCCTGAAAAGTCTACTGTAAGTGGCTTCTGCAGCTACTGTCACTTTTCTTTGATTTCTTTAAATCATAAGTTTATTTTAGTGTGAGATAGTTTGGTTATAAATTACATTACAGTGCCTTGTCTTTTTCCTCATTCTTTGGTCATTCTGCCATGATATAACTCAATAGTGGAGTTTACAGTTACTGTTTATAAAATGACTATTGCTTTGGAAGTTAAGTTCTTGATAGATTTGTATAAATTTCAATCTTGTAAACATGCCTGCATGTTCAGGGCAAATGCTAATAACCCATTAAATACTAACTTTGTTATATAATTCACTCAAAAATTATTTATTGAGTACCTGCTATTTACCATGCATTGGTGTGGTCTCTGAGGATTAGACTGAAGAAAATAGAAAAGAAACAAATCCTTGCCTTCAAATACCTTATATTCTGAAGATAAATAGTAAATAAGGTAAATCATTTAAGTGCATAGCATATGTTAGGGAGGAAAAATAAAGCAGTAAGGGAACCAGGAAATTTCAGAAGTAGTATTGTAGTTTTAGGTAGTGGGATCTAGGGATGAACTTAGTGGTGAGCATACAGATGTCTCCTGGAAGAGCAGGTAAGCTAAGGAAACAGCAGGTCCAGAGACAGGTGTCAGTCTGTTTTCTGTGGCTGTAATCTAAGACCTCAGACTGGGTAACTTATAGAGAGTACAGGTTTATTTCGCTCATGGTGTTGAGGCTGGCTAGTCCAAGAGCGTGAGGCTGGCATCTGGTGAGGGCCTGTGGTGACAGAACAACTGGCAGCTCCAGTCTCTCTTCCGTTTCTTGTGAAGTGACTACTGCCATTATGGGGATCCACCCTTATGACCTTGTCTGATCCTTATGTCTCCCAAAGGCACTGCCTCCAAATACCATTAATATATGACGACTCATGGAGGAACACACTCAAACCATAGTAGCAGAAGTATGACTTACATCATCAAGGAACAGCAAGGGAATCAGTTTGGCTAGAGAAAAATGAGAAAATAAGGAAGAAATAGGCTAGACCCTTAATTCCTTCTAGGATGAGGAATTTGGGGTTTGTTTGTTTTTTTTTTTTTTTTTTTGGACAGGCAGAGTGGATAGTGAGAGAGAGAGACAGGGAGAAAGGTCTTCCTTTTGCCGTTGGTTCACCCTCCAATGGCTGCCGCGGCCGGCGCACCACGCTGATCCGAAGCCAGGAGCCAGGTGCTTCTCCTGGTCTCCCATGGGGTGCAGGGCCCAAGCACTTGGGCCATCCTCCACTGCCTTCCCGGGCCACAGCAGAGAGCTGGCCTGGAAGAGGGGCAACCGGGACAGAATCCGGCGCCCCGACTGGGACTAGAACCTGGTGTGCCGGCGCCGCTAGGTGGAGGATTAGGCCTATTGAGCCGCGGCGCCAGCCAGGAATTTGGTTTTAAACTCTAAATGAGATAGGAAGCAAATGGACCTATCTGAGGAGAGAAATAATGTGATGTCACTTAAGTTTTAACTATATCACTCTGATTTTGTATTGAAAATATACTAAAGGCAAGGTAGAAGTACAGATACTGGTTGTGAAGTATTGCGATATTACATTGCAAGTAATGGTGATGTGGACCATGGTGAGGCAGTGCAAGGCCTGAGATTTGACTGGATTCTGGATATAGTTTTCAAGTAACTCTGGCATGATATGCCAGCAGATCAGATATAAAGTACAAGAAAGGGGAAATCAAGGAAAATGTCAGTATTTTTAGCCTAAGCAGCTTAGAAGGATCAACTTGGTATTTACTGAGATGTGAAAGGCCACAGTTGGAACAAGTATGGGTGGAATAGTGGGAATTCATTTGGGGATACATTAAGTTTGAGATGCCTATTAGGAATCCATCTGGAGATGGAAAATGTTGAATATATGATTCTGGAGGTGAAAGGAGAAGTCTGAACTAGAGTTGTGACAGTCAGAGTTGATGGCATGCCAATGCTATGAAAGAAACACAATATTGGAAGAAATCACCGATGAGTGGCATGTAGTTCTGTAAATAAGAGGCTCTAGGAATTGAGCTTTGCTCCTCTAAATTGTAAAAAGGAGGGGACTGACAGAACCTAGCAAAGGAGATGGACAGTATGTAGACAACAAGGTAGAAGAAAACTCGACAGCTGCCTAGTTAAGGAGTCAAAGAGGGAGTGACCAACTTTGTCAGATGTTACTGCTAAGTCAAGTCTAATAAGGACAAGAATTAAATACTAGACTGACGAATGTGAAAATCTTTGTTGTCTTTAATGAGAATAGTTTTAGTGGAGTCGTGTGGATGAAAACTTGGACTGGGAGGGTGGGACTGGAGGAAATAGGAAGTGTGGGCAGCTCTTTTTTAGCAACAAAAAGGAGCTGTTTGGGGCAGTAGCTGATGATGAAGTAGATCCTAGAAAGAGTTTTTGTTTTTGTTTTTAATTTAAAAACTCTTAACAGATAAAAATTGTACATATTTATGGAGTACCCTATGGAGTTTCAGTACATATATGCATTTTATTATGTACAATCAAGATAAATATATATATATATATACACACACACACACACACACAAACATTTAACATTTCTTTATAGGGAGAATTTTCAGAATCCTAACTTCTAGTTTTTTGATAGAGAAATATACAGTGCACTAACAGTATCTACAGTCATCCTACTGTGCAAAAAGAAGCCCAAAACCTCTTTCTCCTATTTAACTATACATAAGTTCTTGTTAAGCAACCTGTCCTCATCCCTCCCTGTACTATTGTTCCCCAGCCTCTGACAACCACCTTTATAGTTTTAACTTCTATGAAATCACCTTTTATATTAGACACCACATGTGAAAGATTATGTGGTACTTAACATTTCTCCATGTGACTTACTTTACTTAACAAAAGAGATCCAGTTTCATTCATGATGCTCCTGATGATGAGCTTTTGCCCCTTTTATGGCGGACTAGTATTCTGTTGTGTATATGTATCATTTTCTTTATTCATTCATCAGTGGATCAACAGCTATGTTGTTTCTTTTTCTTAACTATTATGAATAGTGTTAGAATAAACTTGGGAGTGCAAATTTTTTTAAAAAGTATTCACTTCATTTCTCTTCGATACATGCCAAGTAGTAGGATTGCTGGATCACATGGTAATCCTATTTTTAGTTTTGTAAGGAACCTCCATGCTGTTTTACACAATGGCAATACTCATTTACATTCCCACCAACAGTGTATAAGGGTTCCCTTTTCTTCACATCCTAGCCACCCTTTATTATCTTTTGTTATTTTATTTTATTTTATTTTATTTTATTTTATTTTATTTTAAAGTGAGTGAAAAAGAGGTCCCATCCACTTGCTCATTCTCTAAATGTCTTAACTAAGATTTCTAGCTGGTGCAAAGCCAGGAAGTAGGAACTCAATCCAAGTCCCCTCATGAGTGGCAAGAGCCCAGCTACCTGAGCCATCACTGCTGCCATCCAGGATCTGCATCTGCAGTAATCAGGAGTTGCAGCCAGAAATCAACCCCAGGCACTCCAGTGTAGGACACTGCTTAATTATCAGGCCAAACTGCTTAAATTCCAGGTGTGCCCCTCTTTTGTCTTTTTGATAATAGCCAATCTTACTGAAGTGAGGCGATATCTTACTGTACTTTCAATTCACATTTCTCTTCTGACTGGAGATTTTGGTCATTTTTTCATATATCTATTGGCCATTTGTATACAAAGAAATAGCATGGTTATATTGCACCATAGATCAGTTGGGCCGAATAGGCATCCACAGAATACTTCATCCAGTGGCTGTAGAATGCACATTCTTCTGAACAGCACATGGAATATTCTCCAGGGTAGATCATACTATAGATCACAAGACTTTACAAATTAATACAAAAATACATAAATATGATACTGAGTATCCCCCAAAATCAGATTTGTCCCAAATCTGCAGTTGTTGTGTTGTTTAAAATAAACTAGGGAAATACCTAAAGGGAGTAGTCCTTCCATACAACCTGTAAGTGGGGCTGGGCTAGGCCCAGACTCCTGGTCCTCCAGCTACAGTGCCATGATGCTAGATCACCATCAGAGCTCACAGCCCATGGTGACCAGTGCAGCTAGGGGTGGGACCAGAGCCCACCCTGCTGTGGTGCACTCACCCCCAGTGCCATTCCTGCCAGCCACTCATGGTACTGGCTGAAGTATAAGACTAATGACTGGGGCCACAGAACTCCACTTGACACCAGAGCAGGTCCAGAGGCTCCATGTGCAGGCATTAGCCTGGGGACAGGAACTGTTAGCATCTGCTCATTGTTGGATTTTCCCAGCTTGCCACTGAGTCCCAAAACAATCCTTACTATCTGCACTGGGTTGTAGGAGGGGTGGTAGAGGCAGCCTTGCAGCTACCCAGCAGGTACCAGATCATTCACTCCTGGGTCTCACAGTCATTAGGCCCAGTGCAGTCTTGAGGGTGTGTCTGGTGATAATCAACACTGAAACAAGTCCGTCCCAGCAGGGCGCAGGCCTCTTGCCTGATACTGGGGCCAGTCTGGAGACTTTATCCACATGCAGTGTCCTAGCAGCAGGAACCCTTAGGCTTTACTGGGCCAGTGTGAGTCCCAGGACGTAGTCCTGTGGCTCTTTGATGCCTGCCCAAGGACGGAGGAGGGGTATACGAGCAGCCCCTGCACCACCCAAAATTGGCAGTAGGCTGAGTCACACCTGGTGTCACAATCACTGGGCCCCATGAAGTTTTGAGAGTGCACACCAGGCCCGCATGAGGCTAGCAGTGATACACACCAGACTGAGCACTTCCCACCAGAGCACAGGCCTCCATCTGAGCCACAGCCAGGTCAAGAGGTGCTATGTAGGAGTGCCAGCCCTGGGGTGGAGGTCTGTGGGCTTTATCAGGTGCTAGATCTCAAGGCAGCAGCAGGCCTGGCTCTGAGCACCAAGGCAGAGTCCTAACCAAGACTCTCCTGCCCACTTTACACAGCTGGAGTCTTGCTCTGCTTTCTGCCAGTGGTTGAGGTTGGGTGGCAGGCCTGGAGGCAGGGGCCATATGGCCCTGTCCAACTCTGAATTTCACTGTGGTGGGCCTGGCACTGCGTTTCAGTTCCCTTCCCCTCTCTCAAGTAGGAAGTGTCTCTCTCCACACTGAGCTCCTCTTAGCTGAGGGAGGGAGGGGTGATATTAACAACTCTTGCCTTCTTGCTTTCTTCCATTCTGTTAACTAAAATGAGCCACTAAGGTCTCTCACATGGCTTCAGTAGTTCTCTTAAAGGTGGCTTGGTGTTCAGATTGCTGTTTGAATTGGTGTCCCTGTGGGGAGATGGACACTGCAGCAGCTTGCGTAGCCACCATCTTGCTCCATCTTGAGTTCTTTCATTAAATCAGAAAGGTGAGAGTATTTCCCAGAAGGATGGGAAAATGGATACTGAAGTAAGAGAATTGTTGGCACTGTCCCTGAGTATGGAAGAAGGAATGGGGTCTAGAGAAAGTAGAAATACAGTTTGAGAGTAATATGATAACTTATCTAATTAAAAGTGTTTATAGGGAATTCACAGAATATATAATTAATTCTGCTTTGGGGTTAAGGGGAAGATTCCCAAGAGAGATCATCTCTGACCTGCATCTTAAGGTATAGAATTAGATGGTTCCCTTCAAAGAATAAGCATCAAGCATACTACATGAAAGAAGCTAATAACAAATAGCCAGGTGTTACATGGTTTCTCATGTGAAGTGTTCAGAATAGTCACACCTATAGAGATCATAAGTATAGTACAGGTTGACTAGGGTTCAGAGAATGGGAGCAGGAGGGAATGGCAAATGGGCGCTCATGGATGCAAGGTTTCTTTTGAGTTGATGAAAATATTCTAAAATTATTAGATGGTAGTGATGCTTGTGCAACTCTGTGACTGTAGTAGAAATATTCTGAAATTAATAGATTTTAAATGGGTAATGTATATGGTATATGAATTATCTGTCTTAAAGCAGTTTTTCAAAAGCACACATATCAAGCAGAGGAAGTATCATTTGAATTTGTCTAATACTGTGAGCACCTGTGATGTCTGAAGCTTTGAGCCAAGGGTCTAGTGATACTGTGATTAACAAAGACAGACCTGGTCCTGTCAAAAAATTTACTTTCCTGAACCAATATTTTGATTGGAATTATGGTTATTTACATAGTATACATGACAGAAGCATACAAAAGGTTCACTTTATATGTATTAAGGATAGATTATAAATGAAGAAAATAATATTACTTACTTTTTATCTTTTTAAGCCGAATGGCGGTATTCCACATGATAATCTTGTTCTCATCAAAATGAAACCTGATGAAAATGGAAGGTTTGGATTCAATGTAAAGGTAATCTAGAATTTATGTTGTACTTGGATTTTAAATTAATATCTTCTCACTTCAATAATATTTGACTTGTTCTCTTTTTAAGGGAGGTTATGATCAGAAGATGCCTGTGATTGTGTCCCGAGTAGCACCAGGAACACCTGTAAGTTATTTTAATTTTTCAAGTAAATCTTGCATTGTTGGCTTTTTTTATAACTGTATTCTCTTTATTTATTTATATCTTCCATCCACTTGTCCACTCCCTAAATGCTCACTACAGCCAGAACTGGTCAGGCCAAAGTCAGGAGCCAGGAACTTCATCTGGGTTTCCCACATGGGTGGCAGGGACCCAAGTATTTGAGCCATCATGTGCTGACTCCCAGGGTGCACATTAGCCAAATGTTGGTTTGGAAGCAGAGCTGGGTCTCCAACCAGACAATCTGATATGGAATGCAGGCATCCCAAATAGCATCTTAACTGCTGTGCCAAAATTTTGATCCTCAGTGTCTGGTGGATATAACTACTGATAACTTCCAGATGTACATACTACCAATTCAGTAACCTAGAGCGACTGAACCAGTCCTTCAGTCTAAATTATAAACTCCCGAGTTGGGTGTTTGGCCTAGCAGTTAAGATGCCATGGGACCAGCTGTGGGGAGCAATCCGGACTAGACTAAGTTACTCGAATTAAGACTTATTCTATGCATCTGCTCTCCCACAATATGGCGCTGGGAGAGAAGTAAACAGCTTCCGCACAGCTGCCTCCAGTTCAACCAATAAACTGTAGGACTTGCTCCTGATTGGAGAGCGGCGTACTCGGCGTGTGGGCAGCCGAGTTGGGATTGGCAGAAGAGGACTATATAGGAGGAGAGAGACGGCATGCACCAGGAACATCTATGGGGAACATCTAAGGGAACCCGTGCAGCCCCCGAGAGAACCGGCCGGTGGTATGCCGCTCCCCTGCGGAAGTGGGGAATGCGGCCAGGGGGAACTGCCCTTCCACGGAGGTGGAAGGGATGGCAGCCAACCCGGGAAGAACCAGCAGCAAACCCGGGGAGGGCCGAGCAGACGAAAAGAACAGCGCAGGGTCCTGTGTTGCTCCTCCACGAAGAGGGGGAGCGACACCAGCATTGTGCTGTTGCAAGTAAAGGTGCCACCTGCATTGCCAACATCCCATATTGATACTGGTTTGTGTCCCGGCTGCTCCACTTCCAATCCAGCTCCCTGCTCATGGCCTGGGAAAAGCAGCAGAAGATGGCTCAAGTGCTTGGGCCCCTGCCATCCACATGGGAGACCTGGATGAAGCTCCTGGCTCCTGGCTTCAGCCTGGTTCAGTCCTGGCCATTGCAGCCATTTGGGGAGTGAACCAGCAGATGGAAGATCTCTCGCTCTCGCTCCCTCCCCTCTTCCTCTCTCCCTCTCCTCTTTTCTCTCTCTCTCTCTTTCTTTCTGTAACTCTGTGTAACTCTGGCTTTCAAATAAAATAAATTAAAAAAAAAAAAAAGATGCCTGCATCCCATATTGGAGTGCCTGGGTTTAACACCCAGCTTTACTCCCAACTCAAACATCTGAATAATGCAAACCCTGGGAGGCAGTGATAATGGCTCAAATACTTGAGTCCCTGCCATCCATGGGGAACACCTGGATTGAGTTCCTAGCTTCCAGCTTCAGCCCCAGCAATTGCAGGCATTTGTGGAGTGAACCACAGGGTGAGCTTGCTCACTCTTGCTTGTGCTCCTTTTCTCAATGCCTCTCAAATAAATAAAAAATACATTCTAAACTCATGAAAAATAATCCCCAAATAGATCCAGCTTAGATGAGATGTTCTTGTTTCAGAAAATTCAATTGTGGTTCAAGAGTGGAACCGGGGATATATAAAATACATATTTATATATAATTTATATATATAAAATTACTCCTTTCTGAGCCAGCGTGGCACAGAGAATTAAGTTGCTATGTGCAGTACCAGTGTCCCATGGGGGCACTAGTTCATGTCCTTGCTGCTCCATTTCCAATCCAACTCCCTGCTAATGGCCTAGGGAAATTAGTGAAAGATAGCCCAAATGCTTGTGTCTCTGTATCTATGAAGTTCCTGGCACAGCCGTGGCTGTTGTGGTCACTTGGGGAGTGAACCATTAGATGGAAGATCTTCATCTCTCTCTGTCTCTTTCTGTGTGTAATTCTTTCAAATAAATAAATAAGTAAATTACTCTGGCACAGGCATTTGATGTAATGGTTAAGATGCTACTTGGGATGCATGCATCCCCTTATCAGTGAACCTAAGGTTCCAGTTCTGCCGCTGCTTCTAATTCCAGCTCCCTGCAATTGCACACCCTTGGAAGCAAGCAGGTGATGGCTCAAGTTTTTGGATCCCTACCACCCATGTGGGAGAACTAGATTGAATTTCTCACTCTTGACTTCGATCTGGTCCACCCCAGGAAGTTGTGGCATCTGAGAAGTGAACTAACAGATGAAAGATCTTTGTGTGTCTCTCTCAGTCTGTCTGCCTCTCAAGTAAATTTTTTAAATAGAGCAGGCATTTTGGCATAGCAGGTTAAGCCACCACTTAGAATGCCCACATCCCATATGGTAGTGCCTGCTATCAATTCCCACCTCTGCTTCTGATCCAGCTTCCTGCTAGTGCACACCCTGAGAGGCAGCAGATGATGGCTCAAGTACTTGGGTCCCTTCCACCCATGTTGATGACCCAGATGGAGTTGCTGGTTCCTGATTCCAACCTTGCCTGGCTTTAGCTGGTGTTGACTTTGGCGAATAAACAACAACTGAAGACGCACTCTTTCTCTCTCTCTCTCTCTCTCCCTCTCCCTCTCACTTTCTCCCTCCCTCCCTTCCTCCTTCCCTCCCTCCAAATAATCTTTAAAATGAATAACAAAGAAAAGTGCAGACAAAATTGGGAGAGATAATCCACAATTATTTAACATATATTTAGGGGGTATATGTGTATGTTTAGGACATGAGAAAATGAAAGATTGCTGAATTCTGTCATGTAAAAAATTAGTAGAGAATGCCTAAAATAGAAAAGGAAAACAAAAGGGAGATGTTATTTCAAGGTACAGAGGTAGAGACAAAAAGAGGTAACTAAAATGTTGAAAGTCATTGCCTCAAATCAACTGTGAATTTCAGATAGGAAGGAAAACATGACTTTGTGAATTATCTGATAATTCCACTTTTCAGCATGGCCTCTAATGAAATAATTGGACCAGAAAACAAAGAATACTTGCACAAAATGTTCATTATGGTATGGCTTATAACAGTTTAAAGAAAAAAAATCAATTTGCATCATTGGACTTACTGGAATAAAGCATGCATTGCTTTACAGCTATCGAGGTGATAATTTATGTCTACACAAATCTGAAATTATGTCCACAAAATGGTGTTATGGAAAAATCCATGTTATCCCACATATATTTTATTCTGTTTTTTTAAAAACATAAATTGTGTACATAGAGGAAGTCTATATATATATATATATATTTTTTTTTTTTTTTTTGACAGGCAGAGTGGACAGTGAGAGAGAGAGACAGAGAGAAAGGTCTTCCTTTGCCGATGGTTCGCCCTCCAATGGCCGCCGCTGCGGCTGGCGCAGCGTGCTGATCCAAAGCCAGGAGCCAGGTACTTCTCCTGGTCTCCCATGGGGTGCAGAGCCCAAGTACTTGGGCCATCCTCCACTGCACTCCCTGGCCACAGCAGAGAGCTGGCCTGGAAGAGGGGCAACCGGGACAGAATCCGGCGCCCCAACCGGGACTAGAACCCGGTGTGCTGGCGCCCGCAAGCGGAGGATTAGCCTAGTGAGCCGCAGCACCAGCTAATACTTTTTAATATTTATCTAGACTTCCGGCCGGCGCTGCGGCTCACTAGACTAATCCTCCGCCTTGCGGCGCCGGCACACCAGGTTCTAGTCCCAGTCGGGGCGCCGGATTCTGTCCCGGTTGCTCCTCTTCCAGTCCAGCTCTCTGCTGTGGCCCAGGAAGGCAGTGGAGGATGGCCCAATTGTTTGGGCCCTACACCCACAATGGAGAACAGGAGGAAGCACCTGGCTCTTGGCTTTGGATCGGCACAGCGCGCCGGCCCGTAGCGGCCATTTGGGGAGTGAACCAATGGAAGGAAGCCCTTTCTCTCTGTTTCTCTCACTGTCTAACTCTGCCTGTCAAAAAAAAAAAAGTATTAATAGTGTTCTGTATGGGAAATGGAATTACTGATATTTATCACTTTTATAGTCCATATTTAATTATCTAAATCATGACAGTGAGCATGCATTGCTGTTATATTAGAAAAAGCAATATTTTATTTTAATAGCAGCTGTAATAGTGGTTCTTCTGAGAAGTGATTATATTTTTGAATTAAGTCAAGCGTGCACAGGGAACACTGTACAGACAGGATCACTCCCAAACTGAGTTCTCTAACTCTAAATTCTCTTCTGAAGACATAGAAGTTAGTAGTGATTTTTCTCTTCTGCTTCATGGAGCTGTACATTCCCATTAATATTGGCTGCATTGAGCACTTTAAGACAGTAGCACTTTATCATTTTAATTTTTATTGATTTGGAGGCTACCACAGTCTTCCAATTGGAAACCATATTTTGAGTGATTATGGGAAAGGGACAGGATTCCAAATATTTTCATGTTTGTGTGTGTGTGTGTTGGACACCTTTTGAAACAAAATGATTCACAAAATTGTGTAGTTCTTCCCATCTGATAATCCTTTAGCCAGTAGCTATTGCTCCAACCAAATTATAGAGTTTATCTAGACTTTCCAGATTAGAATGAAACACAAATAGAAAGTTAGAGTATATCTGACAAAATGCAGATTAAGTATAAAGGAATTCCCTTTTTTGGTAGTGGATTCAGCGAGAGAGATGCATCACTATGCTAATACTTCTTCTTTTCTGCTATTACTAACTATACTCCACAAAGTAATGTGGGAGGCTGACTCTTTGTTCTCCATACAGTCCACTCACTTTCTGCTAGTATCATTAGCTCCCAGTTCACTTCACTTTGTTGTTGCAAAGACATTCACAAAAATTTGCAACCAAATTGGTACACAGAAGCATCATGCTGATACTAAATAGAATGAGTGTTCAAGTGTCTGTCATCTGCTTCACTACAGACATTGAGGGGAAAAACCATTCAAGAGAATTGGCATAATCTTAAATATGAATATTTCAGATTTTAAAGCCTTGGATTGAATACCTCATCTTTGTCTTCATAACAAATCTATGAAATAACCAGAGCAAATAACTGCTGCTTTTTCAGAGTTTCAGATGTCTAAGATCACACATTTCATAAGCATTAGAGAATAATGTGACTTCTATGGACCAGTGCTCTTTCCGCTGATGACGCTGCCTTCTTGGATTTTGTTGAGTTGTGTTTATGACTGAGTGGTTTTGCCTCCATATCTTCATGCCTCTATCACAGATGTTCCTTCTTTTTATAAGAGTCAGCCAGATTATTTCTTTCTCTACCTGGCTTTTCATTCATCGAACTTGACTGTTTTCATTGCTATGCCCCCAGAACATGCTGTCTGTATTTCTGTTCCTTTTATATCTTTTACCTTAATCACTAGTTTGTAAACAGGCAGTCCTCACTTTGCATAGTAGTACAGGACCATAAAAATGACCATGCAAGATGAAACCATACAGTGACTTTAATGATCAGTTGGAAATATTAAAGTTGTTCCTATGACTTTTAAATTTTTTTCAACATTAAAGTCTTTGTTGCTGTCTGTTATAAAGGTATAGAAAAGTAGAAAAAAGAATAAAACTAATATTGATTTAGTATCCTCTAATCTAAAATATTAGAAACATTAATAATTGTTTTCTTTGTGAAAACATCATGGGCAGTTTAAATAGTACTTGCTTCTTGCATGTTTTATAACTCATTATACAAAGTAATGTCTTATCTTGCCTTAGCAGAGTGTCATAGTACTCTGTAAGTTTGGATCGACTTCTCACATTTTGTCCTTGGACTCTCAATGTTGTGAAATGTTCTGCAATTTTTCATAACTTTGTCTGCATACCTGGAGTCTCTTGAAGAGCAGTAAGATCCGTATTTCCATGGTCACTTATTTCTTCTCCAAATCTCTGTTTAATTCAAACTTCACTTCCGAGGTTAATCACTTTTTATTTGCTGCACTTTTATCTTTTTTAGTCATTTCCCTCTTAAGAGTATCCATTTTTATATGAGCTTACTACTGGGAGACAAGGAGGAACACAACTGTATACTTTGCTGCTGTGCATGAAGTGAATAGCAGATGTGCGTCGACAGAGCATTAATAGACTTTGAAAGAAGTGATGTGATTGGTAACTGATCATCATGTGTGTCGATCAGTTTTGCAGTGATTTTTGGACTGAAGAGCTGGCTGCAAAGCTTGTACTTCATGAAGTTTATCACACTTAATACATCATGGAAACTAAAATTTGACCATGTTGTTGCGGCCTGATGAGAACTGAAATTTGTATCTAGACTTTGCAAAGTGAAGGCTGCCTGTATCTGTGTGATCATTAGTCTTACGTGTATGTGTGGGCACAAAGTATATCATCAGGAAACAAGTTCTTAGATAAAGAAAGGAAAAAACGATAGTACCTTCGTGGGAAAGCTGGATTTCTGCTTCTTGAAAACAGATGAATGAATGACTAGATGTTGTTCTGTATGTTGTTTTAGTTCTGCAGCTATGGAGTCTGTGAGAATGAATCCCTGTGCAGTACTTTCAGAAATCTGCACGCAATTCTAAAACCTTACGTGCATTACATTACAGGCTGACCTCTGTGTCCCTCGATTGAATGAAGGGGACCAAGTTGTACTCATCAATGGTCGAGACATTGCAGAACATACTCATGATCAGGTGGTCCTATTTATTAAAGCCAGCTGTGAGCGACATTCTGGGGAGCTCGTGCTGCTTGTGAGACCTAACGGTAAGTACTCTATGTAACTAACACTGGATAGTTGCTATAATTCATGAATAGGAGCCAGAGTGATCCTTTAAAATGTTAAGTTGGGGCCCAACGCTATGGCATAGCGGGTAAAAGCCGCTGCCTGCAGTGTCGGCATCCCATATGGGCGCCTATTCAAGTCCTGGCTGCTCCACTCTGATCCAGCTCTCTACTGTGGCCTGGGAAAGCAGTGGAAGATGGCCCAAGTCTTTGAGCCCCTGCACCAGTGTGGGAGACCCAGAAGAAGCTCCTGGCTCCTGGCTTCAAATTGGCGCAGCTCCAGCCGTTGCAGCCAATTGGGGAGTGAACCAGCGGATGGAAGACCTGTCTCTCTCTGCCTCTCCTTCTCTCTCTGTGTAACTCTTTCAAGTAAATGAATAAATCTTTTTTAAAAAATTAAAATTAAAAAAATTTTAAAAATAAAATGTTAAGTCATATTAAAGGAAATGAAATCCATCTGTTGAAGAGACAACTGGACTCAACATGTTAATTGCAACATAACGGAAACAACTAAGTGTCCATCTGCTAATGACTACATAAAATGTGGTACATTCACACAAATTGAATATTACTTGGCCATAAAAAGTATGGAATGTTCTCATTTGCAAAAACATGGTTGGAACTGGAGTTTATTTTATTACAAGAAATAAGCCAAGGGGCTGGCGCAATGGTGCAGTAGGTTAATCCTCCAGCCGCAGCAGTCTCTTCCTCTCACTGTCTATAACTCTACCTCTCAAATAAATAAATAAAATCTTTAACATTTTTTTTTTAAAGAAATAAGCCAAGCACAGAAAGATGAATATCAAGCAGGCATCATGGCTTCTGCTTCCAATCCAGCTCCCTGCTAATGCTGCTGGGAAAGCAGCAGAAGATGGCCCAAGCACTTGGGACCCTGCTACCCATGTGGGAGACCCGGATGATGTTCTAGACTCCTGGCTTTGGCCTTGCCTGACCCCAGCCTTTGTAGCCATTTGAGAAATGAACCAGTGGATGAAAGATTCTCTCTCTGTCCCACAGTTACTCTGACTCTCAAATAAATAAATATGACTTGACCTGCAAAGCCACACTGTAAGGGAGAGTAGGGTGACAGTGTCCTTCCCACAAGGAGCACCGGAAACAAGTTTCAGTGAACATGTCTGACTTTATTCACAGTCACGTCTGCCTTTTAAAGGACAGAGAGAAGGAGTGTAACTAACTCAGGGGAACACTAACTATAGGACAGATCCGACACTGGCACCAATATGCCTCTCCAGTCAACTTGAAGGTAGCTTTCTAGGTGGGCCTGGACCACACTTGGGAGCAGTTTACCTGATTGGCAGAAGGTGGGGGTGGGGAGAAATGTGCCTAGGCATCCACCACCTGCTAGCAGCCAGGTTAACTGCTGGGATTGCCCACAAATAAATTTTACCAGATGCTTGGGAGGGAAGTTGGGAAGGGAGGGCTAAAGATTGATGAGTACTAGGTTACACTTAGTAGTAAGAAGCTCTGGGGTTCTGCACAGTACAGTGACAACAGACAATGTATATTTTTCTCTTAACAAAAAAACTTGAAGATAGTATTCTTTGCTCTCTCCTCCATTTTATATTGACTTTGTTGGTGTTCCTCAAATGTTCCAGTCTTACCTACTTCATAGTCTTTGTACTTGCTACTTCCTCCATTTGGCACATTCTTTTTGATTCTCATGTGACTTACACCCTCACTTCATTTAGGTCCCTGCTAAAAGCTCATCCTCACAGGGCTTTTCTTCTCTCCTGACTGCTTCGATAAAATGGCCTTCCTCTTCTCCCTGTTGCTCCAAGCTGTAATAAGATAACTTGTTGAATGAGTGAGTCAAATTTGAACTCTATATTTCAGGCATGGAAAGCCAAGACACTCTGGCAAAAAGATCTCTGTGAGTGAGATCCCAGTGGAAAGAACAGGTCTTCAAAGAGGGAGGTGCCTTTCTCTGAAGGGAGGAGAGAACCTCCACTTTGACTATGACCGTGTCTAAACAAGATAAGAGTCGGAGAACTCAAGGGGCTTCCATAGCCTTGGAAACTCATAACTGGTGCATAGGGAGATTACTGATGCCATAAACAGGAGTGTCAATTGGTAAAGTCAACAACAGGAGTCACTGTGCACTTACTCCTCATGTAGGATCTCGGTCCTTAACGTGCTGTACACTGAGGCTTAATGCTATAACGAGTACCCAAACAGTATATTTCACTTTGTGTTTCTATGGGGGTGCAAACGACTGAAATCTTTACTTAATGTACACTAAACTGATCTTCTGTAAAAAAAAAAAAAAAAAAAAAAAAAGAAAAAGAAAGAAATTTTCAATTCCCAACTTGACTCTCACTGGGATTAAACATGACAATAGGTCTGATCTGATTTCATCATCATTTTAAAAAAATCATCTATTATTTTTCACTTTATGTTTCTGTGTGGGAGCAAACTGTTGAAATACTTACTTAAGGTATACTAAGCTGATCTTCTGTATATTAAGATAATCGAAAATGAATCTTGATGTGAATGGAAGGGGAGAGGGAGTGGGAAAGGGGAGGGTTGTGGGTGGGAGGGACGGTATGGGGGGGGAAGCCATTGTAACCCATGAGTCGTACTTTGGAAATTTATATTCATTAATAAAAGATAAAAAAAAAAAAAAAAATTTGAACTCTATTCCACTTCTAGAGCACTTCATAACAAGCTGTAGTTACAGCAGCTTTTTAAAAATCCTACCCATGTGGGCGCCGGTTCGAGTCCCGGCTGCTCCACTTCCAATCCAGCTCTCTGCTGTGGCTTGGGAAAGCAGTAGAAGATGGCCCAAGTCCTTGGACCCCTGCACCCACATGGGAGACCCAGAAGAAGCTCCTGGCTTCTGACTTCGAATCAGTGCAGCTCCGGCCATTGTGGCCAATTGGGGAGTGAACTAGCAGATGGAAGATTCTCTCTCTCTCTCTCTCTCTCTCTCTCTCTGCCTCTCCTCTCTGTGTAACTCCGACTTTCAAATGAATAAATAAATCTTTAAAAAAGAAAAAAATCCTACCTATGTTTTCAGTAAATGATGTCCACTTGCCTGATTGTGTCACCACTTGTCCTGTTGTGTCTGAACAGCTGACTTGATAATTCACTGTCAAAGAGTCGTAGGTTTGGAGAAACAGTAAAGCTCTAGCTTCTTTGCTGATTGCTTGAGTTTCCTGCACAGCACCTCAAGAGCCTCCTGCCAACGAACACCCAGGGGCACCTGGAGCAGTTCGGCCCAGTCCCAGATTAGTTGAACTGAAGCTCCATATTTGCTCAGGCCTTTTGTTCCTAATTCCTTATCACTGCTATGCAGAATAAGGTTAACCCCTCTTCCTTCAGATGCTTGACAACACCTAGTTTTACTAGAAGCCATCCTCCCTTTTTGAGTTTGTGGGTCCCAGAGCCTTCAACCATGATCATGTGGCATAATTTTCACATTCCCTCAACACTGTAAGTCTTCTCTAAGAAAAAATGTCTGTGTGCTAGTGTTGGACATATTCTTCTAGTCTTGTTGTGGACGGTTTACTGTTAACTATAGTTTTAAACAGACTAATTAATGGCTAATGTCATGTTATCACTCATTAAATGCCAGAGAAAGTAAAATATAATTCAAATTCTTCCTATTGCCCACCATACCCAACCCAGAAAAATTTTAAAGTTTCTTTTTATATTTACAATCAAACAAAAAAGTCTGTTTCATCTGTTGGGTATAAACAGGCATTTCATTTTATCTTCTTTATACTCTGTGTTCTTCTCCACTCGTTATCTCTGGACTTTCTAGAAAGATTGAAAAACTTTACAGAATATTCTATTTTAACTTTGCAAGGAACTTGTTCTTTAGACTTGATACTGAGGTGATTCCTTCAGTACTAGATACTTTCTTTCATGGAAAGCAACTTAAATTTTATACCGAAAGTAATTTCTCTCAATTTTACTTACTTATTTTCTCTTGATAGTAGACCCAAAACAGCTTTAAAAAAATAATAGCTAGTAAGTATTAAAAGCTTTCTGTGCACCCATGCCTTTCTTGTATATTCGTATTTAATTCTCATAACTGTCCAGCATGATGCATAATTTGTCCTCATTTAGTGTTGAAGCCACTTTGGCAGCATTCAACTTTTACCACACAGGTTCATGACCACTATTGAACTGGAACGTGCAGAAGTGCATATGACAGCAAAGGCCTGACCTTTTTGCAATTCCAGAGTTCCTTGTTTGTGCTTAAAATTAGGAGAGGAACTCATCTAGGGCCTACCTCTTACAAAAATCTTCCTGAAGTTGCGTTATAATCAATATCTGCTATTTTCTTTTTCTTTACAAAACATTAACAAAACGTTATACTTTTTTGTCTTTGGTCCTTCATTTCAGAAATTTATTTTTCTCTAAAATACATACATATCTGAGGAGGAGCCAGACCTCTTAGATAACCCGCAGTTTTCTATCCACATAGCCCTGAGCCCACCTCCTAGTCCTTTGTGGGCATTTTCCACAGGTCCCTACTCCCAAGGATGGATCAGGTTATTATGCATTCCCTAGGCCAGAAGGGTAGCTAAGAAGCAACAGTTCACAAAGAGGAATAAACATTGAGCTCACATTTGGCCTAGGATGCATGCATATATGTTTATAAATTCTTGTGTTAAAGAAGGGAGCTGAAAAGAAGTACAATTGGGGACCGACTTCATGGCGTAGTGGGTTAGGCCACCACTTATGATGTTGGCAGCCCATATCTGAGTGCCAGTTCAAGTCCCAGGTGACCTGCTTCTGATCCAGCTCTCTGCTTATGAGCCTGGGAAGGCAACCGATGTTGCCCCAAAGTACTTGGACCCCTCCCCAGATGGAGTTCCAGACTCCTTTTTTTTTTTTTTTCTTAATCAATCAACCAAAATAAAAGATGGGCTACAGATCTAGGGTCTGACTTTCCTTACACTATGAATTCTGGCATAGAATTCTCATTTGAAATCTGGCCTCCCAGATTAGTTTGTAACATGTCGAGGAAAGACGCCAGAGCATGTTTTATATAGCATTATTCAATTTATTTCTAATTTACCATATTTAGTCATTCAGTTTATAAGCTCTGTTAGTGCTCTTGCTCCAGATCAAGCAAATTAAGGGCAGTTTTACTCAGAGCTGACTTTCAGCAACTCCTCTTTTTCTTAATGTCTCTACAGATTATAGACAGTTCCAGCCATGTGGTCAAGGACTTTCTTTTCCCCAAAGGTACAGCAGAGTCCTTCAGCTCCACAGCCAGTCTCTCTCTCCCTACATGGTACACCCAGACTATGAGCTGGTGCAGTTATAAATGAATTTTTCATTCTGAGGCAGAATTAATGAATGTGTCTGGCAAATTCCTATTGTGAATTCCATTAAGATTTCCATGTTTGTGTTTTATTTTAGCTGTATATGATGTAGTGGAAGAAAAGCTGGAAAATGAACCAGACTTCCAGTACATTCCTGAGAAAGCCCCACTGGATAGTGTCCATCAGGATGACCATTCCCTACGGGAGTCAATGCTTCAGCTGGCTGAGGGGCTTATCACTGGAACAGTCCTCACACAGTTTGATGTAAGTAATACTGTGTAGAGATGGGATCTACCTTTGTTTTCTCCGGTTAGCTTCATGGTTTCTTAACTGCCTAATCTGTCCATTATGATGTATAAACTTCCATGATATACTGAGAAGTTTGAAATAAAGAGCTCTAAAATGCAGTTTTTAAAATTGCTCCCAAAATACTATGATTATATCAATAAATGTTTAAAAAGGAGATTAAGAAACTTTAAATGTATGTCATCAAACTAAATTTTTTTCTATTTAAATAGTTGTTTTTATTAAAGGGAACAAACAAGGATAGGCTATTTTAAACTTCAGAGTCTTGATTTATACCTTGTTGTCTGTAATCTTTCTCTGATTTTGGCTAGTGTAGTTTCCAAAACTGGAAAAAACAAAATTGTCAGATAAATCATTATATTGGAAGAATAAGATATTTCTAGAATACTTCTAATCTGTATTTTGACCAAAAAGTATACAGTGAATTTGAAGTGCTTTATTTAGATTGTGTATACTTAATTTGTTTAATGTAGTGAAACTAGATGCTTGTTAATGGCCATCATTAATGTTTGTTGCTCTGAAATATATATTATATGGAAGTATTTTCATTATAAAGTATTTAGGGCATGTGTCTGGTTTCCTTTTTTAAAGACTTATTTATGTATTTGGAAGAGTTACAGAAAGAAAGGGAAAGAGAGACCTTCTGTCTGCTGGTTCAATCCCCAAATGGCACAGTAGGTCTTCTTCCAGATCTCTCACACGGATTCAGGGGCTCAAGTACTTAGGCCATCTTCTGCTGCTTTCCCAGGCATATTAGTAGGGAGATGGATAGGAAGTGAAACAGCTGGGACTTGAACAAGCACCCCTATGGGACGCTGATGCCCCAGGCAGCAGTTTAACCCCCTGTGCTGCAGCACCGGCCACATCTGATTTTCCTTTAAAAAGTTCTTTGTTCTTATTCTGTGAACACCTCCAAGCTACATGAAAGCCAAATTACTTCCTGCAGACTTGCTGTTCACAACTTTGGATACTTCTACAGGAAGCGAAATTGTTTTCACTTTGTTTTATCATTTTTCAAAATATGATACGTAATTCATATCAGAAACTATGGAATTCATCTTTGCAAGTCTGTTTTAGTACTGTCTTAGCTGGTCAGCGCCGCGGCTCAACAGGCTAATCCTCTGCCTAGCAGCGCCGGCACACCGGGTTCTAGTCCCGGTCGGGGCGCCGGATTCTGTCCCGATTGCCCCTCTTCCAGGCCAGCTCTCTGCTATGGCCTGGGAATGCAGTGGAGGATGGCCCAAGTGCTTGGGCCCTGCACGCCATGGGAGACCAGGAGAAGCACCTGGCTCCTGCCTTTGGATCAGCGCAGTGCGCCGGCCGCAGCGCACTAGCTGCGGCGGCCATTGGAGGGTGAGCCAACGGCAAAGGAAGACCTTTCTCTCTGTCTCTCTCTCTCACTGTCCACTCTGCCTGTTAAAAAAAAAAAAATACTGTCTTAGCCTCAGGTACATCTCTGTGTAGATGAGGTATTCAAAGGAAAAAACCTGTTTCCTGTTAGTGTCAAAACAAGTCTGAAAAACAAAGCAAATTGCTGATAGTTTGTTTTCTTTTTTTAGCAACTATATCGGAAAAAACCTGGAATGACAATGTGTTGTGCCAAATTACCTCAGAACATTTCCAAAAATAGATACAGAGATATTTCGCCTTGTAAGTATCTGTTATCGTTTGTTGAGTTTAACCTTTTTAACATAACTTTATTAAAACATTGTTCTTTTAAATTTTTTTCAGATGATGCTACACGGGTTATTTTAAAAGGTAGTGAAGACTACATCAATGCAAACTATATAAATGTAAGTTTCTTTTATTATGCCTTTTGTTAAAAACCTACCTTTGATAAACTGTTAAAAGTTCCAAATACTGAAAAAATTTATCAAAATGATACTAATGAAAATAGTTTGATGCTGATTCTTTAATATATAGGAAGCACGGGCCGGCGCCGCGGCTCACTAGGCTAATCCTCCGCCTAGCGGCGCCGGCACACCGGGTTCTAGTCCCGGTCAGGGCGCCGGATTCTGTCCCGGTTGCCCCTCTTTCAGGCCAGCTCTCTGCTGTGGCCAGGGAGTGCAGTGGAGGATGGCCCAGGTGCTTGGGCCCTGCACCCCATGGGAGACCAGGAAAAGCACCTGGCTCCTGGCTCCTGCCATCGGATCAGCGCGGTGCGCCGGCCGCAGCGCGCCGGCCGCGGCAGCCATTGGAGGGTGAACCAACGGCAAAGGAAGACCTTTCTCTCTGTCTCACTGTCTACTCTGCCTGTCAAAAAAAAAAAAAATATATATATATATATATGTATATATATATATATATAGGAAGCACACTGGAATAGAATAGTCCAGTCCAGAAAAAGACTGAAGAAGTAAATAAGTAGAGTTTTATTTATGGTAGAGGTGGCCTTTTAAATCACTGGACATAAAACAGACAATCCAATGAATGGATTAGATCAACGGTTTAGAATATATCACAGGCCAGCGTTGTGGTATAGTGGGTAAAGCCTCTGCCTATGACACCGGCATAACATGTAGGTGCCAGTTCAAGGCCCAGCTGCTCCACTTCTGATTCAGCTCCCTGCTGATGCACCTGGGAAGGCAACAGAGGATGGCCAAAGTGCCTGGGCTTCTGTGCTCATGTAGGAGATACAGAAGATGCTCCTGACTCCTGACTTTGACCCGGCCCAACCCAGGCCGTTGTGGCCATTTGGGGAGTGAACCAGCAGATGAAAGATCTCTCTCTCCTCTCTATCTTTCTCTCATCCTCTTGCTCTTCCTCTCAAGTAAATAATTTTTTTAAAAGTAAGATGAACCTGGGGCTGGCGCTGTGGGGTAATGGGTAAAGCTGCAGTCTGCAGTGCTGGCATCCTATAGGGCCACCGTCCTGAGAGACCCAGAAGCAGCTCCTGGCTCCTGGCTTTGGATCGGCCCATCTCTGGCCAGTTGCAACTATTTGGGGAGTGAACCAGAGGACGGAAGAACCTCCCTCTGTAACTCTGCCTCTAAATAAATAAATAAATAAATCTTTTTAAAAAATAAACAACAACCTAAGTATAAGTCAAATATATCAGTTTACTTGTAAATACAGTCAGTTTTGATTATTTGAGATATTTTGAGAAATTTCTTTGACCACTGAATCAGCAAATACTGAATTTTAAATACTTTTCTGTTACCCTTTAAAATTATTTTGTATGTGAAATCCAAGCTAAAACAAGTAGCAGAATTTTACTAATGAGCTATTTAAAGATAATTATTTCTTACTTCTTTAACAAGTCTCTGCCTGTGAAACAAGATTCTCTGTAAAGCTGCTCTTGAAAACGTAATAAGTGTTTTAGAATATTTTGTATTTAAATTGCATTTTCCACTAATTGAAAGATAAATATACTTAACTGTTGGATATCACCAAGAAATTCTTCTACAGATTAAATGAGAATTGATGTGAGCATTTGATGCAGCAGTTAAGATGCCCACACCCCATATTAGAGTGCCTGGGTTTGAGTCTCAGCTGTACTTCTGATTCCACCTTCCTGCTGATGCAAACCCTAGGAGGCAATGAGGGCTCAAGAACTTGGGTCCCTGCCACCCATTTGGGAAATTTCAGGGCTCCCAGCGTCAGCCGACCCAGCCATGGCTGTTGTGGGCATTTGAGTTGTGAACCAGAGAGTGGAAGATATATCTCTCTCTGTCTCTCTGCCTTTCAAATAAATGAAAATATTTTAACTGAAACCACTGATAAAGATTGTTTTACTAATTGCAGTTTATTGAGAGTTAGGTGTATTCCATTTATCAATTAGTGGATGGTTTTTATATTCCTGATCACAGTATAAAGCAATAATGCAAAATATTTTATTTTTATGTCTTCTTTTTAGATGGAAATTCCTTCTTCAAGCATTATCAATCAGTACATTGCTTGCCAAGGGCCTTTACCACACACTTGTACAGATTTTTGGCAGATGACCTGGGAACAAGGCTCCTCCATGGTTGTTATGTTGACCACACAAGTAGAACGTGGCAGAGTAAGTTGTAGTTGAATTTTACACATTGAGCTCTGTTCAGATTACATTAAATATGCAGTTGAAATATTCATGTTGACTTACTCTTATAATTTCTAAGCTACTTTTCTTCTGGTTTCATGATTTCAGTCATCATGATTAAGTGCATAAAACTTTGACTAACTCATAATGAATGTGATGTAAATGTTAGCTATTATTGCTGTTATTTAAAAGGATTAATTAGAAGTATACAGGGACAGGTTTTGTGGCACAGTCTGTCAAGCTGCCTTCTGGGACACCCTCATTCCATACCAGAGTGCCTGGGATCTTGTCTCACCTTTGCTTCCCATCCAGCTTCCTGCTAATGCACACTCTGGGATGCAGCAGATGATGGGTCAAATGCTGGAGTCCGTGCCACCCACATGGAGCCCCAGATTGAGCTCCAGACTCCTGGTTTCAGCCTGATCTGTCCCTCACCCCTGCCGTTGTAGTCATTTAGAGAGTGAACTAGCAAGTGCAAAATCAGTCTCCCTGTTGCTCTGCCTTTCAAATTAAAAAAAAAAAAAAGATAAACTTAAAAAAAGAAATATAAACTTATTTTTAATTCTATTTTCCATGAACTTTTGCAGTACTCTGGTTTATCTAGACTATATATGAAGAACTCTTACAACTTAACAAGTCAACTTAAAAATGGACAAGGCCAGTGCCGCAGCTCACTTGGTTAATCCTCCGCCTGTGGCACCGGCACCCCGGGTTCTAGTCCTGGTTGGGGCGCTGGATTCTGTCCCGGTTGCTCCTCTTCCAGTCCAGCTCTCTGCTGTGGCCCGGGAGAGCAGTGGAGGATGGCCCAAGTGCTTGGGCCCTGCACCCGCATGGGAGAACAGGAGGAAGCACCTGGCTCCTGGCTTTGGATCAGCGCAGCACGCCAGCCTTGACGGCCATTTGGGGGATGAATGAACGGAAGGAAGACCTTTCTCTCTGTCTCTGTCTCTCTCTCTCATTGTCTAACTCTGCCTGTCAAAAAAAAAAAAAAAATGGACAAAAGATCTAAGTTAGATAGTTCTCCAAAGATATGCAAATAACCCACAGCACAGGAAAAGATGCTTGACATCATTAGTCAGCAGGAAAATGCAAATTAAAACCACAAAGAGATATCACTGCATGTCCAGTAGGATGGCTAAAATGGAAAGGACTGATAATAACAAGTGTTGATGATTTGGAAAAAACAGTACTGTCCTTTGCTGAATTTGTAAATAGTGTGGCCATTTTTGAAAACAGTCTAGCAGTTCCTTGAAGCCTACTTAAACATGCCATAACTCAGCAGTTTCATTCCTAGATATACTCAAAAGAATTGAAAACCTGTGCCCACACAACAGTTTGTACACAACCATTTCACTGCAGCATTATTTTCATGGTTAAAAAGGGGAAAGAACTGAAGTCTACCGAGAAAAATTTTAGATATTCTTACTTATTATTACTTGGCAATAAAAATGAGTGAAATATTGATACATCTTCAACATAAGTAAGCCCAGAAAACATGCCAAGTGAAAGAACTTGAACAAAAAGGCCATGTAGTACATGATTGTATTTATATGAAATGTCCAGAATAGGCAGGTCTGTAGGCATAGAAAATAGATCAGTTGGGGCCAGTGCTGTGATGTAGTAGGTTAAAGCCTGCACCTGCAGTGCCGGCGTCCATATGGGCACCGGCTGAGTCCCAGCTGCTCTTCTTCCTATCCAGCTCTCTGCTAATGTCCTGGGAAAGCAGTGGAAGATGGCCCAAGTGCTTGAGCCATTGCTGCTATGTGGGAGACCTGGAAGAAGCTCCTAGCTCCTGCCTTTGGATTAGCCCAATTCTGACTATTTCAGCCATTTGGGGTGTGAACTAATGGTTGGAAGATCTCTCTCTCTCTCTCTACCTCCCTTTCTCTGTCTGTAGCTCTGCCTATCAAATAAGTAAATAAATCTTTTTGAAAAAATAGATTAGTGGTTGTTTAGGACTAAGGGGAAGGAAAAGGAATGGAATGGGTTAAGACACACAGTGACTGCTGGTGGGTATAGGGTTCTTTTGGGTGTAATAAAAATGTTTTGAATGTGATTGTGGTGATAGTTGCCCAGCTCTTGAACAAAACAAAAACAACAGTGTACTTTAACTGGGTGAGCTATATAGTACATGATTGATGTGTCATTAAAGCTGTTAAAAAATCTTAAATTTTAAACAGAATATTTGTAGCCTCAAAGCATAATTAGCAGGGCTGGCTGATAGATTTAGTCACTGCCTACAATGCTGGCATCCCATGTGGGCGCCAGTTCCAGTCCTGGCTGCTCCACTTCTGATCCAGCTTCCTGCTGATGCACCTGGGAAAGCAGCAGAAGATGGCCCAAGTCCCTGGGCCCCTGCACCCATGTGGGAGACCCAGAAGAAGCTCCTGGATCCTGGCTTCGGCCTTGCCTAGTCCTAGCCATTGTGGCCATTTGGGGAGTGAACCAGCAGATGGAGGATCTCTCTCTCTCTCTCTCTTTTTCTCTCTTTCTATCCCTCTTTCTCTCTGTAACTCTGCTTTTCAAATAAATAAATAAAGCTTTAAAAAAAAAGAAATATAACTAGAGGTAGGTTGTGACACCCAGGTCCCATATCAGAGCGCAGGTTCAAGTCACGGCTCCTCTTTTTGCAATCATTATTCCTGCTAATGTGCTTAGAGAGGCAGCAGATTATAGCCCAGGAACTTGTATCTCTGTCATCCACGTGGGAGATGGGAGCTCCTAGCTCCTGGCTTCACTTTGGCCTACCCATGGCTATTGCGACCATTTGAGGAATGAACCAACAGATTTAAGATTCTCTCTCGCTCGCTCACTCTCGCTCTCTTTCTCTTTCTCTCTGTCACTCTGCTTTTAAAATAATCAATTTAAAAAAATTAATGAGATTTATTACCATAAAAGAAGAAAATGACAAAAATTTCAATAGTTGGCAGATCTACATGACGTGTATATGAATTCATCAAATTACTCTTGCACCTTTTATGTAAAACTGAACATTCTTAAAAGTGAGAATATTATAAAAATGGAGAACTTAAATTCATGTATGTATATAATTTTATTTATTTAATTCTACTGATGTCAGGTTAAATGTCACCAATATTGGCCAGAACCCACAGGAAGTTCATCCTATGGATGCTACCAAGTCACCTGCCACTCAGAAGAAGGGAACACTGCCTATGTCTTCAGGAAGATGACCCTACTTAACCAAGAGGTAAGAAGACAGGCTATCCAGTCATTAAAACTGTTGTGATCAAGGTAAAGACTTTGAAACCTGAAAGTACTTTTAATCTGAATATTAGTTAATAGGAAATAATAAGAAAATTACTGAACTCTATTGCTTCAATGGAAAAGTTTGATATTTTATAAAGAATATTCTTTTATTCTGTAATACATTTCTCATCTCTATAGCTAAATATGAATTGTCAGTTAAAAATAAGTTTAGTAAATAGTACTTATACTGTTACTACATTGCTATTCATAACAGGTAGGCCAGAGGTATGTTTTGTTATAAAAATGTTTTACACTGAATAATGTCAGTAAAAATTTTTACCTTGAGTACTACAGTAAAATATTTGGATATTTCTGTGGAGATGCAGAAAAAACAGCAGAAAGCTGTCCCTTTGTTAGGAGTAGAGGAGATCCAGCTCCACAGTCCCCTCAGTATTAAGGAGGAAAAGGAAATGGACAGCACCTTCTCACAGATTGTGGCTTTTTTTTTTTTTTTTTAAAGATTTATTTTATTTATTTGAAAGGCAGAGTGACAGAGACAGAAAGAGATCTTCCATCTGCTGATTCACTCCCCAAATGACCTTATCTGTCAGGGCTAGAGCAGGCTGAAGCCAGGAGCCAGGAACTCCATCCAGGTCTTCCACGTGTATGACAGGGACCCAGGTACTTGGGCCATCTTCTGCAGCTTTCCCAAGGCTCTTAGCAGGGAGCTGGACTGGAAGAGAACAGCTGAGACTGGAACCAGCACTCCAATATGGGATGCTGGTGTTGCAGGCAGCAGCTAAACCCACTCTACCACAATGCCAGCCCCTAGATTGTAGCTTTTTGATTAGCTAGCTATTCTTAGTCTACTTGGGTCACTCATTTTGTCTTCTAAATCCTGACAGGAATAGAAACTGATTAATAAAAGAGGGTGTCATGCTGCCCATCTTCTCAAGGGTACTAGAGCTGGTACACCCTAATTTTTTTTTTTTTTTAGAAAAAGACATATTTACTTTTCAGAGTGAAAATAAAAGTAAAATAAAATTTATTTTTCAGAATGACAGGGAGAGACAGATCTTCCATCTGCTGGTTCATTCCCTAAATGCCCACAACAGCCAGGACTGGGCCGGGCTGAAGCCAGGACACAGGAACTCCATCCAGGTCTCCCCTACATGGATGGCAGGGGCCCCAAGTACTAGGACCGTCATCTGCTGCCTTCCCAGGCATACTCCAGGAAGCTGCATCAAAAGCAGAGCACCCATGACTCAAACCTGCAGTCTCATATGGGTTACAGGCATTCTAAGAGGTGACTTAACCTGCTGCACTATAGCTCCAACCCCAGTGCACCCTACTTTTACTGTCTGCAGCTAGATGTTCCCTTACCGGTCACTTCAGGTTCTGAAAGGACAAAAAAAAGAAGGAAGTAGCTGCTAGAGGAAGAACAACAGGACCTGAGAAAGCCCATTCTCATCCTGTCAATGGTTAATCCTTTGGAAATGTCACGCCAGCAGTATGATTAAAGGAAGGGAAGGCGTTTGGCCTAGCAGCCAAGAATGTGGCTGTGTACACGTCCTGTATTAGAACACCTGGGTTCATATTTGATACTCGGCTCCAGCTCCTGATTCCAGCATCCTGGGAGTCAGCAGTGATAGCTCACGTGGTTGTGTTCCTGCTCTTAAATGGGAGACTTGGATTGAGACCCCAGTTCCCAGTTAGAGAGTCAAGATTGGAATCAAGATTTGTCTAAATGCAGTGCTCTTACTCTCTTCTCTCAATCATTAGCTCCCCAAAAATAATTCATCCTTGAATGGAATTTGTATTTTTATTATCTTGTTTTTAGCCTACATTTACTTTGAGATTTGATTTTTCTAATTTCCATAATTTCATCTGTGTTTTAGCAGGATCAACCCAACTTTGTTCACAAAAAATGTCTTCACTTTAACATTTTTGCTTACCTAACAGTTCTTGGTTTTCCTTAAACATTTCTCTGGTTCTTAATTTGTTTGCTTGATTATCATCTTGAAAACAAGGGCCAGTACTGCAGCGTAGTGGGTAAAGCCGTGATTTACAGTCCCAGCATCCCATATGGGCACTGGTTAGAGTTCCGGCTGCTCCACTTATGACCCAGCTCTCTGCTAATGTGCCTGGGAAAGCAGCAGAAGATCATCCAAGTGCTTGGGCCCCTGCACCAACGTGGGAGACCTGGAGGAAGTTCCTGGCTCCTGGCTACAGATCAGCCTAGTTCCAGCTGTTGGGGCCACTTGGGAAGTGAACCAACAGATGGAAGATCTCTCTTGCTGTCTCTCCTCCCACTCCCTTCTCTGTGTAACTCTGTCTTTCTCTTTTTAAAGATTTATTTATTTATTTATTTATTTGAAAAGCAGTTACAGAGAGGCAGAGGCAGAGAGAGAGAGGTCTTCCATCCACTGGTTCACTCCTCAAGTGGCCACAACTGCCAGAGGTGGGCCGACCGAAATCAGGAGCCAGGAGCTTTTTCCACGTCTCCCATATGGGTGCAGGGGCCCAAGGACGTGGGCCATCTTTTACTGCTTTCCCAGGCCATAGCAGAGAGCTGGATCGGAAGTGGAGCAGCCAGGACACAAACTGGTGCCCATATGGGAATGCCAGCACTGCAGGCAGCGGCTTTACCTGCTACACCACAGCACTGACCCCTAAATAAATAAATATTTTTTAAAAATACTTCACAAATACCAAAATTGAATTGTTAAAAACAGAAGTGATGCAAGCAGCCAAGTCTTAAGTGGATACAACCATTGTTATAAAATGTTTTCTTTCTTTTCCACTGATATTTTGAGTTTTACTGAGTTTATACATTACTTTTTTGTCTGGTGGAGAGCAGTTGGTTTTCTTTCCTTCTAAAATTAAAATAATACGAATATTTCTACTTTAAAGATAATTCCTAAATCAAGGTACATAAATTTTTCATCTTCACTTAGAAAAATGAGAGTCGTCAACTCACTCAAATCCAGTACATAGCCTGGCCTGACCATGGAGTTCCTGATGATTCAAGTGACTTTCTGGATTTTGTTTGTCATGTCCGAAATAGTAGGGCTGGCAAGGAAGAACCTGTTGTTGTCCATTGCAGGTATTCTGTTCTTGTCTTTTATGAATGAATAACTTTCAATATGCCAGTCTTAAAAGAAAATATGTATTTAATTTCATCCTTATGTTGTACTTGTCATTATAATGATGAGTGAGAACCTACAGTTATGCTCTAAACGTTGAAGACACAAGTGTATTCTAATATATGATTAGCAGAAACTTTATCATAGCAGATAAAAATAATTCCTTCTGTACCAATTCTTAGTTTATCCTTTTTATATGTAAATATCTCTGAAATTGGAATGTGTCTTACAATTGATATTTGATAAGATACTATATAGCAGGCATTTTCAGTCCATTTGTGCTGCTATAATGAAAGGCCTGAGACTAGGTAATTTTAAAAAACAGAAATGTATTGCTGGCATTTGTGGGGGTTGGGAAGTCCAAGATCGAAACACTATACGTTCAGTGTCAGGTAGTGGGGCTGTCCGCTTCTAAGATAGTACCTTGTTGTTAACATCTTCCAGAGAAGACAGATGGTGCATCCCTATATGGCAGAAATGGTGAACCCTTGTACCTTTTTATTATGACCCTAATCTCATCTAAGAGGACTGTCCTGGTGATGTGATCATTTCATAAATGCCCCATCTGTTAATACTGTCACATGATGATAAAGATTCAACATATGGGTCAGCACTGTGGCATAGTGGGTAAAGCCACCATCTACGTGCCGGCATCCCCTATGGGCACTAGTTTGTGTCCTGGCTGTTCCACTTCTGATCCAGCTCTCTGCTGTGGCCTGTGGTCCAAGTGCTTGGGCCCTGTACCCACAAGGGAGACCCAGATGAAGTTCCTGGCTTGGATCAGCACAGCTCCGGCTGTTGCAACTTCTTGAGGGGTGAACCAGTAGATGGAAGACCTCTCTTTCTCTGCCTCTGCCTCTCTGTTACTCTGCCTTTCAAATTGAAAAAAAAAGAAAGATTCAGCCTATGAATGGAGGGGGGAATTTTCAGACCATAACATAGGCAATTTTTTTTAAGATTTATTTATTTATTTATTTATTTATTTATTTGAAAGGCAGAGGGGGGGGGTCTTCCATCTGCTGGTTCACTCCCCACATGGCCACAACAGCTGGAGCTGCACCAATCCAAAGCCAGGTGCCAGGAGCCTCCTCCTGGTCTCCCATGTGGGTGCAGAGGCCCAAGCACTTGGGCCATCTTCCACTGCTTTCCCAAGGCCACACCAGAGAGCTGGATTGTATTGGAAGTGGAGCAACCAGGACTCGAACCAGCACCCACATGGCATGCCAGCACTGCAGGTGGTGGCTCCACCTGCTAGGCCACAGCACTGGCCCCCAACGTAGGCATTAATAGAAGTCTGGGGTTTAGGCTGGCGCCGTGGCTTACTAGGCTAATCCTCTGCCTTGCGGCGCCGGCACACCGGGTTCTAGTCCCGGTCGGGGCACCGGATTCTGTCCCGGTTGCCCCTCTTCCAGGCCAGCTCTCTGCTGTGGCCAGGGAGTGCAGTGGAGGATGGCCCAAGTGCTTGGGCCCTGCACCCCATGGGAGACCAGGAGAAGTACCTGGCTCCTGCCATCGGATCAGTGCGGTGCGCCGGCCGCGGTGGCCATTGGAGGGTGAACCAACGGCAAAGCAAGACCTTTCTCTCTGTCTCTCTCTCTCTCACTGTCCACTCTGCCTGTCAAAAAAAAAAAAAAAGAAGAAGAAGAAGAAGAAGTCTGGGGTTTACATTCCCTCCCTCCCAGCAATGTGCTTACCTGAAGCCTGTCAGGATGTTCACTGAGTACTCACTCATCCCTTTCTTGGGATGGTCCTTCTGATGGGAGAAGGAGGGTATATTCATTTCACTACAGGTTCTTGTCTTGTACCTGGAAAATCTTTTTTTTTTTTTTTTGACAGGCAGAGTGGACATTGAGAGAGAGAGACAGAGAGAAAGGTCTTCCTTTGCCGTTGGTTCATCCTCCAATGGCCGCCGCGGCCGGCGTGCTGCGGCCGGCGCACCGCGCTGATCCGATGGCAGGAGCCAGGAGCCAGGTGCTTTTCCTGGTCTCCCATGGGGTGCAGGGCCCAAGCACCTGGGCCATCCTCCACTGCACTCCCGGGCCACAGCAGAGAGCTGGCCTGGAAGAGGAGCAACCGGGACAGAATCCGGTGCCCCGACCGGGACTAGAACCTGGTGTGCCGGCGCCGCTAGGTGGAGGATTAGCCTAGTGAGCCGCAGTGCCGGCCTCTTTTTTTTTTTTTTTTTTTTAAGATTTATTTATTTGAGAAGCAGAATTATAGAGAGAGGGAGAAACAGAGAGAGAGGTCTTCCATCCTCTGGTTTACTCCTCAAATGGCTGCAATGGCCAGAGGGGCCGATCCAAAGTCAAGAGCCATCTTTTGGTTCACTCCCCAATTGGCTCCAACAGTCAGAACTGGGCTGATCCGAAGCCAGCAGCCCAGAGCTGCTTCCAGGTCTCCCAAATGGGTGCAGGGGCCCAAGCACTTGGGCCATCCTCGACTGCCTTCCCAGGCCATAGCAAAGAACTGAATCAGAAGTAGAGCAGCCGAGACTCGAACCGGTGCCCATATGGTATGCCGGAGCCACAGGTGGAGGCTTAACCTACCATGCCACAGCACTGTTCCCTAAGTGCATTCTAAGTGCAGATGCATAAAAGGTGCAAAAAGTGATTACAGGTTTTATTTAAAAGGTAAGCAAGTTGACACATACACTCATGAGCAGGCATTGCTCCACACAGAAATACCACTACCCAGCAGGGAGAGAAAGAGAGAGATATGGACAGACAGACCTTCCCAGTTTTTGGCCTCTTTTATGAAGTAAGGGATAGTCCCTCTCCAGGCATAAAGCCACCTGGGAATTACATGGCACCTCCACAAGTTCCACATGGAACTCAATATCCATATTTTCATAGTATTCCCCCTTCCTTTAGGCCTCAGATAAAGCAGATGCATCCCAGGAAAGGGGGCATTTTGATTGACAAGTTCCAGTTCAACTGACCTAAACTACCTACCTGCCTATCCCATTACCAAATGTCCTTATGAACTATGCCACTCAAATATCTACAGGTGAATAATGGCAGATACCATTCCTTCCTTTCAGACCCATGTACCCTTCCACCTTCAAAGGGCAGATACAATGACTGCAGTCTTCGCTGCCACTGACCAACTCAAAACTAAGGAGAAATTCCCTCCTGGTTAGGACCACCTGTGTCAAGTGGCTTACTGAGAATATATTAAGATTTTCATCCTTAAAACTTCCAGCATGTTAAGAAAAGACATTGAAATCATCAAAACACATTGTAGGCCAAAGATTTGAGATAACAAAATGGCAAGAATGGTGAAACATACTGGGTCATTTCATATCTTAAGTCCCCAGTAGCTTCTCTGTTTATATTCACAGATTATACTAAGAGTTCTTCAGGACTATCTCAATGCTAAAGTTTAATTCGAATTAAATTTTATTTTAAAAGCTAATTTATTTGATAGTATAAGATACTTTATTGGGGCCGGCGCTGTGGCTCACTTGGTTAATCCTCCGCCTGCAGCACTGGCATCCCATATAGGCACCGAGTTCTAGTCCCGGTTGCTCCTCTTCCAGTCTAGCTCTCTACTGTGGCTCGGGAAGGCAGTGGAGGATGGCCCAAGTGCTTGGGCCCTGCACCCACGTGGAAGACCAGGAGGGGGCAACTGGCTCCTAGCTTTGGATCAGCGCAGCGCGCCCGCCATGGCGGCCATTTGGGGGGTGAACCAACAGAAGGAAGACGTTTCTCTCTGTCTCTCTCTCTCACTGTCTAACTCTGCCTGTCCCAAAAAAAAAAAAAAAAAAAAGATACTTTTTTATGCATTTGTTATTGATTTATTATAGTTCTGTTATTTTGCATTTAAGGGGGTTACCCCAATATGTCTATATACCTTGTTCAAAAGTTGACTTGCTACTTTTGTAATATAAAATATTAAAATGAAATTGTTCTTTTCCTGCATGAGTGTTGCAAGAAGTTTAACAGAATAGTATCAGTAAGACCTTGCCCATATTTGTCTTTTTTTAGTGCTGGAATTGGAAGAACAGGGGTTCTTATTACTATGGAAACAGCCATGTGTCTCATTGAATGCAATCAGCCAGTTTATCCATTAGACATTGTAAGAACAATGAGAGATCAACGAGCCATGATGATCCAAACACCTGTAAGTTCTGTACTGCATGTCCATATGTGTGTCCTTAACATGATAACCTTTGTCATCAACTTATATTCTTAATATATTTTTATCTTTTTAATTCCTCACCAGGAGCTATTAGCATAGGGGTCAGCAGACTTCTGCCCACCAGCCAAATCTGTCCTTCCACTGTTTTTGTAAATAAAATTATATTGGAATACAGCCATGCTTATTTGTTTATGTATCGCCTATGGCTGCTTTCACACCGTAATAGTAGAATTAAGAAGTTGCAACAGATAGCATGTGGCCTGTAATTTCTAAAATATTTAGTTATCTGACCTTTCACAAAGAAAGTTTTTCTAGCACGCACATTTGCCCAGCATGTTAGATCTTGAGTGCTTAAACAGGTGAAGAGAAACTTGGTTGTATTACTTAGGCAAGTGGAATGCTGAGAATGATAGGGTCCCTGAACTGGAGAATCCTGACAAACCTGCTTTGGGTGAAACAGCTCTGTGGAGTTGCCTTTCTTTTTACATAAGAACTTAAATTGAAACAACAACAAATCCTAGAAGTTAAGCCATTTATTTAGTCATTTACTAAATTCCCCACTGATACATAATTATGCTCCAAGGGTCAAAAGAAAAATCACGTGTGTGTGTGTGTGTATTATTTTAGACATCCTACTGGATATGAAGAGATATCTTACTATGAAATTGATTTGCATTCCTCTAATAACTAATGGTATCTAGCATCTTTCCATGTGATAGCTGACCATTTATTTGTGTATCTCCTTTGGACTTCTGTCCAAGTCTTTTGCCTGTTTTTAAATTGGGTTGTCATTTCAGAATTGAGTTGTAAAACTTCTTTATTTTTTTTGATAGAACCTCTTACCAGATTTATGATTTGCAAGTATTTTCTTCCCTTTCTGTCCTCTCACTCCTTGGTTGTGTCATTTGAAGCACAAAATTTTAATAACTTATTTAACTTTTTTAACACATTTACTAGATTAGATATTTATATTTCTTTTAAAGAGATAATAAATTATGTATACTTTTATCTACCTTGCTTTTTTTTAACCTAACAAAATATCCTGGAATCAGTCTATAGTAGTTTGTAGACTTGTTCTTTTTGTCTTTTTCCCCGACTAGCAGTATTGTGTTATTATGATATATCACAGACTGACTACTCACCCAGCCCCTAATTGATGGCACTTGGATTGTGTCTACCTGTATTGTTGTTACAAATAGCCAGGCAATGAATAGCCTCATTTGCGAATGTATGTTTTGGTTTCTTTTTGCAGTTTACCTTTTAGATAGATTCCTACAAGTGGGACTGCTGGGGCCAAAGGTAAATCTATGTGATTTTGTTAGGTGCTGCCAAACCCTTCTTCAAAGGGATTGCCTATCTTTAACATCTCTACCAGCAGTGGATGGATGTGTTTTGCCCACAAAATGTGTTGTCCCTTTTTAACTGTTTGCCAGTCTGTTAGAGGAAAAGGTTGTGTCTGTGCAATTGGACATTGTATTTCTTTTATAAGTAAGCCGAGTGACAAGTGTGTCCTTTTTTTTTTTTTTTTTTTTTTTTTGCTATTCTGGTTTTTCTGATCAATTCTGTTTTTTATATTGTATTTTTCAGAGTCAATACAGATTTGTGTGTGAAGCCATTTTGAAGGTTTATGAAGAAGGCTTTGTTAAACCCTTAACGACATCATCACATAAATGAGGAAGCGAAAGGCCTGGGATGTGTACTGGAAAACTGCTCTGCAGTGTAGTCACTGTGCCGTGGTACTGCCCACAGGAGATGGCATCCAACAAAGACAGATGGAGAACTCAGAAAACTGAAAACTTCAGCACTGTTGCACTTTATGTCTAAAAAATGTCACTCTTTCAGAATCTGTAACTCATGTGTTTGAAGACTATTTCATGCTTTGCTCCGAACAAATAGTGAATAACTGAGTATGTTCAGGGTAACGTATGAAATGCTGTGGTGGTGCCATGCAGTCCCTTTCTGGTAGAATTGCCACAGACAAGGCTGAGAATTCTCATCATCTCTGTCATACACCTGAATCTTGAAAGCAAAAAGAAGTAAGCGTCAGGAGTCAGCTCTGGTCTTTTCCAGCAGTTCATGGACTGTACTGCTTACCAGATTTTCTTTTTCAAATATTAGCAATATCATCCTCAATATTAGCCAGTACACTGCCTATGGATGCAGCACGTCTTTCCCCGCGCGGCCCTGTAGAGACCTGCTGTTCAGAAGAAAGGTGGAGTTTGCTGTTCCCAGGAAATGCTGCACATTGTCCATTTACCAGCATCTTACAGAAAGTATAAATACCAATCTACAGGTTTTCTTGGATTTAGTAATGTAACCTATATTTACCATAAGGTTGGCTTATTCCAAATCATGTGATTTCACATACTTGATGTAAAGGAATGCATGCATGTGTCTTAACCCCTTAAGTGCCTTGAGACGTCTTTGTATGTCTAATGAAAAGGCACTCATTTGACCCTACTAGGAGGTATGTGTGTATATTGTACATTCTGACATTTTTATGCATTTTGAGTGAGTTCACATTTTTAAAAACAGCTTCTTGTATTGAGAGTTATGCAGTCAAAGAAGGGAAAGGAAATTCTACTTCTTATTCAGTACTTGTATTTTGCCATAAGAAGCAAAGATAATTGTGCTACTGAGTGTGCGCTCTGCTGCTATGGAATTGTTCAAAATCGGCACATTCCTTTACTGAGGGACAGGGATTACAGTTTAGCAGCTCAACTTAAAAAGATGCTTTATTTGAATTTCATATTTATTTTAGTCCCAAGTTTGGAAATGACATCTAACTTGCATATGACAGTTAAATTTTTGGTACTCTGAGCTAAAGTTAGAGAATGACTACTTAATTGTGATTCATTCCTATCCACAGCCAAACTATTACTCTGCAGCACTCATGTCTGTTACAGTCACCATTCTTCACACTGGCCTATTGCTTGGGATTCAGTAACTGAGAAATGAAATATGACTGAATACTTTATCATGTTCATCCTTCAATAACTAAAATTAAGGTTTTCTTGTCATTGTTGTGTATGATTAAATTACTCCAGTTTTTTTTTTATATATAGAGAGAGATAGATAGATAGATAACTTACTAAGTTATGAGCATGTTGATAAAGAGACTCTGATTGTCCAGCATGATCAAGGATCTGCTGAACAAGGCTCTGGTTCCTGTTAAGGATGTGGATATTTTCCTCCTCAGGTTTTTTCTTTTTAAGTCTCCAGAGAGAACTTTTGCATTGCCCAGTTTGATCACCCAGTCAAACATTACTTACACAATCATTTTACGTGGATTGTGTTTAAAATAGATTCATTTTTCTAGTGGTTTCTGAATATTTCTATATAGTCCTGACAAAGTTTAGAATGAAATGGTAGATATTTTGGAATGCTTTTTAGTATGAGGCAAAAAAAAAAAAAAGTACACTAATAGATCTTCAGTGTAATTTAAATTATGTCACTTCACATATTTAAAATCCATAATAAAATATTTCAGGAAATTAAGCTCCTAAACATTAATAGCCAAGATACCAATACCAGATAAGCTATTATTTTGTCATTTTTATTTTTTTGTTTTTTTTGTTTTTTTTTTTTTTTTTTGACAGGCAGAGTGGACAGTGAGAGAGAGAGACAGAGAGAAAGGTCTTCCTTTGCCGTTGGTTCACCCTCTAATGGCCGCCGCGGCCTGCGCGCTGCGGCCGGCGCACCGCGCTGATCCGATGGCAGGAGCCAGGAGCCAGGTGCTTTTCCTGGTCTCCCATGGGGTGCAGGGCCCAAGCACCTGGGCCATCCTCCACTGCACTCCCTGGCCACAGCAGAGGGCTGGCCTGGAAGAGGGGCAACCGGGACAGAATCCGGCGCCCCGACCGGGACTAGAACCCGGTGTGCCGGCGCCGCTAGGCGGAGGATTAGCCTAGTGAGCCGCGGCGCCGGCTTATTTTGTCATTTTTAAAGAAGTAAACATAAAATTCTATTACCCATTTCTTCATTTCACAATCAATACAGTACAGTAAATTAACTATAGTCTTATTTGAACATACCATTGTCTACCAACAGATAAATGTAATTTAGGCTGCTGTAAACTGGCAAGTTGAAAAGTGAACAAGTAAAATTATGTTGAGGGCCTACATATTAAGTAACTGTTTTGGCAGTGTTTCATCTAAATTCAGTATCTGTACCTGAGAGACAGAACGCGACAGCCAGAGGTAGAAAGATGGCAGTGGTGTAGGAGGCAGCAGGTGGATGGCCTGAGTGGCCTGCTTTTCCATTTAGGGCTGTGTTTACCCTGCTAAGGGTAACTCAAACTGCTGGCAGGGAATCATTAATGCCTGTCTTTAAATGACCGTGTAGTAGAAGTTTAGACAATTTAAATATCTCATGCGTGGATTTTTCATCTCAGAGCCACTTCTCTCTCAGTATTTTTATGTACAGAAAAAAATCCTTTTTTAGAAGTATATTAGGATCTTAAATTTAAAATAAATTATCCTTCACAGCTTCTTAAAACAAACATGCTATGCTTCCATAAGACTGCATCTGTTACAACTAGGAGGTTTCTCACCTGTTTCTCAGTTTAAATTGGTTTCTAGAAATAATCCTAGCTTTCATACACAACGTGCTTCTAGACTCCACCTTTGCCAGTATACTGTTGTGTAATAAAGTGCCAGGCTTTCTGGGTCTGGGCTGCTCGCTGCTCTTCCAGCACCCCTCCCGCCTCAGCCCTGGTAACCCCAACTCACGCAGGAAGTCAGTGCCAACTTTCATTCTGAGAAGTGGAAATCAGTACTGGGTAATCAAGGAGCTTTTGCCAATTCTAAGAAATGTTTGGGGAACCTTCCCCCTGATTTAGGCTGGGTTTTTTGCTGTTCATTCCGACTGAACATTTGATTTCTGTCAGCACTGTGCGGATAGAACAAGGGACACTGGATTAGACTTTACATTCACAAGAAGAATTGGTTGTATTTGTTAAACCACTGATTCCATTCAAATTGAAGCAGAGTAAACTGTGCAAAATAACTTTTGTCTGATTCGCTAGGACAGGGGTCGGGGGGAGGGTTGATTTTGATTAAGAGTAAAGAGGACATTTATTATTATTATATGAAAACTGACTTCAAATAAAATGGTGTATAAAGCCATTAAGAAAGTTGCTTGAAGGTGTCAACTGATACATAAATTAATATATATATATAAGTACTTCAGTGCATTTATTTATGTGTGTTTTCACAAAGGCATATGGCCACAGAGAAAAAGGATTATTTTAATTACAGGATCTGATCAAGTCTAATCAGATATCTGTGCAAAAGTCTCCAGTCTCCTGTCTCCACCACAAGTACTGCAACTTTGGAGCTAAAAGGAACTTGAAAGATTTTATGCAATATCCACTCCCCTGACTGCTGCAGGCCAGACCCAGAGGTCCCGCAACGGTAACTGATTTAACAGTCTGGTCTTCTACAGTCTAAGTTTCCTCATTCTCAGTGCGGTGTTCTTTGTATTATACTAGACCCTCAGTAAATTATAGCCTAGTTAATATCAAATTGTGAATTTTAGTCTCTTTCAGCTTGAGAAACGTACTCTGGCAGTGTTCTCACTTCATAACCATGGCCTTAGAGGATATCACATAAGTTAGAAATAAGTAGACTTCAAAAGTGTCCCCAATTAGGACCCTGATTCAGTGTGCCAGTCATGCTTCCCTGACAAGACATAGGCTTTTGTAAAGTGTTGAGGCCAACACACACGCAGCAATGAAAACATTCTCAACTCGTTAGAAGACTAGCTTTTAAAAGCACTTAAAGCGTAGACTTAGAATATGTGTCCAACTTAACATGAGGTCGTTTCTGCTCATAATATGAACATGTAATAGAAGTAAAGCATTACTTGTTTCATGATCTTAGCAGGAGAGGAGAAGGAAACATGAATTTGTAACAGTGCTATTTAATATCTGCATTTTGAATATTTAAAATATTCTAATGGTAAGGTTGCCAAAGTGGTTTTGAATTCACAAAAAATATTTATACCACAATAATGTGAGGAGTGTTTACAGGCTCTTTTGTTTTTTAGTAATTATTTTGTAGTACAGGTGAATTTGCATTGAAGTCATTTGTAGTAAATACTTTATGGTGAATATTTGTTGAGATAAACTTCTCAGTAATATGATAAGACATAGATAAATGATGCCACTGCCTGCTTTTATGTAAGCTACCGCATCAAGAGAATAAATACTTTTGTCTTGGTGTTGCTTACCACCCACATTCGTTTCAGCTATCCTACCACAATTTCTAGAACCATTTTTCTGTGGTGCTTACAATAAGTGAAATAGCTGTGTTATTTAAAACCAACTGGATTAATTTTACCAAATATGAGAATGGTTGATCTATTGGCAAAGACTTATTGGTGTCTTGATGTGATCACAATTCACGTTGTAGCAACTGTTTTATAAAATTCCTAGAGAATTATATATACATACAAAGTAATTTACATAATCCTAAAACACTTTTGAATGCCAATTGCTATTAGATAACTTCAGCAATTTTATCAAAAGCCCAGGAAATTAATTCCTGAATTATATGTGTTTGGTTCAACTTTTCTTTACCATGTCTGCAACTGTTACTAACACAATTTTTTATTATCTATAGACTTAATGTTTTCTTAGCAGCAGTTACTAAAAAGCCTTTCAATGTTATCAAAAACAAAAAACTTACGCCTCTTTCTGCCACAATTAGACATTTTATTCTCACAGTCTTGGTGAATTTGTGTTTAAAACGATAGACACCAAAAAGTTGTTTCTGTTTCCATATATAAATTTGCTGCTGTTAACTTGTATATATCTCTACTGCAGTGTACTGTTGGTTTCGGAAATGTTGTTCCGTGATTATTTTTATTTTAGTGATCCAGGCTAAATGGAAGGCTGGAAGTCATAGCTGCGGACGTGCCGTCAGCAGCATGGGCTAGACAGAATTTGGTGCAGAAATAAGTAAACCAAGTTTTTCTTTATTTCCAAAGTAAAAGGTATGATAAGTTGAAAACTAAGGACTACCGTTTTAGGGGATAATTCAAACACTTAACTTCCTGAAACCTATTAAAATTTCCACTGCAAGAATGAAAGTGTTTGAAAGCCTTGTTAAGTTCATTAAAACTTTCAGTTAAACACTGTAGAATTTTCCTACATATAGTTGTGTGAATGATAGAGAAAATATTTTTCTATGGACAGAAGGTTGAAACTGGTAACTCTAATTTCATTGTTTAAAAGGGATAAAATGCTATTTGTATGTCTTTCGTGCTGTAAAGAAAATGAATGTATCTTTCAAATGATGACTCGAGTCTAAGGATGCTTTGTAAAGTCCGGAAAGGATTGAGAGGAGAAAGGGAAGGTCGTTGTGCTTCGTTACACCAAATGTAATTTTAGGAGAAAAATCCTTTTCCATTATAAGCAAGAGCAGTCTCACCGAAGCGTATTTCAAATACAGTGCGCGTTCTTTGTCACTGTGCTTTGGTTGGGCTCTACTAGAAGCTGCAAAAGCTTTGCACACACTGTTTCTCGGTGTAAAATAACTGACGTCTAGCTGTCTGCGGGTGGAAGGGTGTTGGTGTGTTTCCAGTGGAGGAGAGGTCCCAGGCTGTGGCACAGTGGCAGCCCCAAGTGAGGCCATTGCTGTGAGAAGCCAGAAAACGGTGCCTCCGATTCGCTGCAGTTACTTGGTGCCGAGGCCCCCAACCCAGCAAGTGGTTTTGCCTTTTTATCGGCAGTGCTGTGGACACGCAAGGCCATGAGCCCCACTGTGGCCTGGAGCAGCGGAGCTCCGTGTGCTCTAGGGTTCAGTAATTCACCTGAACAAAACCCTTTATTTTAAAACAACTTTCGACAGCTTCGTTCAAAAGTTGCATTTATTATTTATCACTCCAGCTGGAGTCAGTGGAGACTTCCATTATTTTGGTTCCTGCTTCAAATCCCCAGCTTGTTACAGATCACTAACCAGACTGTAAAGTAAACATCCTGAGAACTTTAAGGTGATACTTCCTTTACTTTTGCTGCAGATGTTAAAGGATTAGCGTCAGGTGCCGTCAACCCTGGGAGTTGGCAAAATTTAGCAAACTGTATTTGTGATAACCTCAAATTAAGTGCCATGTTGCTAAATCATTACCAGGAAGCCATGGGAGTTAGCCTTAGGCCCGTAGTTGGTGATCTGTGGTTTCCCCGTGTCCACTGCAATCACAATTCAGCCCATTTTAGCTTTTATTTAAAGAAGCTTTTTTTTAACGTTTGTACTCCAAAATGTAGTATTCCAGTTACTCGCCTTCCTGGGCAAGAAAATTCCAGCCCAATTCTGGGATTCTCTGGCACACCCATCTTTTCCCATCCTTCAGTGAGTTGGCAAGATTTGTTCATTCTTGTATTCTGTAGAGTAGGTCAGATTTCAATGCTAAGATTGATTTCTTGAATTTCAAATAGTAGCACTTTATTTCATGCTTACTACTGACCTAATTTATACAATAAAAAGTGAAATTTATCCTAGCAGTTTTGTAAATATGGGGGGAGAGGGCAGAGTGAATTAGTATTAGAGAGCGTTAGATTGGACCCAGGTTTGAATGCTTTATGATGATCTCTTGATAGCTCATTTGGTATTTAAGAGCTGACTTTCTATGATCTTAGCTTTGCCACTTTTCTGTAATTTATATAATACCATAAAGGCTACCCAGTTGGCTGTGTTGCTGGGCTCCATTGTCTCAGCTCGCTCCAGCAAAGTTTGGTTTACCATAATCATTTCTGCTTTGCAGCTTTTGTACATTACATGAATACTTGGAAAGCTGTTTGTTTTCAGTGTAGTACCCAGGGGTTGAGCAGATACTGCACCACAAGAAAGTAAGGGGCAGAAGACCCCATGCTTTTTATATATATGTCGAGGGCAGGATTTTAGAAGCTGAAACAGTTTACATTAAGCTGTTTTCATTTTCTACCAGTAGAATGTATCTGCTTGCACAGTGAAAACTGTCCAGCCCATGTTCCCCAGCATCGGGACTTTGATTGCAGTTCGAATCTATGTTGAAATCTTTTCAAATAAGAAAAGCTAGTCTTTATTTTCTACAGTGTAGGCTTTTAGGACTAATAGTTTATACTCATCAACGATATTTTTAAGCAGTTTTCAAATAATTATTTCTATGTAGAGGGTGTTTTAATTTGGGATTTTTTTTGTAATAGGTGCTATATGTAAATACGAAGGGGGAAAGTCACTTAGTTAAAATCTAGTTTATTTCCTACTTACAATATGATTTTACATTTCTGTCACCATTTATTGGTTGGTTCTACTAAACTTAGTGGCAAATGGAATTCACTAGCCCTTTCATTTTTCAGGCTCACTTTCCCCCATTTCATGAAAAGCTCCTTTTCTGTATGGTTTGTTCTCATAATTAAGAGACAGGGAAGCTAAGGATTTATTTAAAATGTGTAAGTTTGAATTTGGTCAACACTGGATAATTTGAAGTCATCCCTATGCATTTGTCACCACGGCTTCCTGTGTGCTTGAAAGGCCTTGTGTATGTCTTCATTTCAATGAAAAATGAGAATCCTGCCATTAATTGGGGTTTCAGATATTTACACATTCTAACAACAAATGGGATAAAAATGCTGGTCTTCATTAAAACTGTTTTAGTCTGAAGAAGAATTTGTGTTCTGTGAAATGGTATTATTACACGTGTTTTGTTGACCATGTTTCATTTTGATTGAAAAATAGTTTTTCAGGTACAAACGTGAAAACATCTCTAGCTGTGACTCTTCATGTTCAATTGCAAAATAAAGATGTGCTTTAGTCACCTCAAGTGTGGGAGTTCCGAAGATTTTTCTAACATATTTGTTGAGGGGTGATAAGTTCGAAGGGGAGGGAGAAGGCTAAGCATGAGACTTAGTTCTAGACGTGGGGGCTCACGTTGTGGCTCTATTCGAGGAAAGGAAACGGATAGGGAACTAAAAGAAATTGAGAAGATTAAAGCCTGTCTGAAGACACTGTTTGCCCCCGCCAGCCCCAGCCCTCTGTTGGAATCCTAGATCACAGTGAAGGACCTCTTTCTCTGCCCGAGTCAGCTTGCAGAAGAAAGACTGAGAGGAAAGCTAATTAACTAAGCGGGAAGTGAAGGAGTGTGACTAGGCCATGTCTGCTCGTATGCACGTGATGGAAATTGTAATAGCACGAAGGAGGCCCAAGATGAGTTACAACAGCCCCTGCCCTACGGAAAACCCCCTCAAACCAATGACAACTTCTTGTATTTTCTCCAGGGGAAGAAAAATGTGTGCCCGCGTTTGTGTATCCATGCGCAATTTGTCAGTGATACAGTCCGCAGTTGATTTGGCATATTGTAATATTTTTATTTAATTTGAAAGGTAGAGTTACAGAGGGAGAGGCAGAAAGAAAAGTCCTCCATCCACTGGTTCACTCCCCAAATGGCTGCAACGGCCGAAACTGGGCCGATCCGAAGCCAGGACTTTCCTCCGGGTCTCTCACGTGGGTGCAAGGGCCCAAGCATCTGGGCCATCTTCCACTGCTTTCTCAGGCCATAAGCAGAGAGCTGGGTCAGAAGAGGAGCAGCTGGGACTAGAACCAGTGCCCATATGGGATGCCGGCACGGAAGGCGGAGGCTTAGCCTGCTATGCCACAGTGCCAGCCCCGGAATATTTTCTCATCAATGTATTCAAGTGTACCTAGTACCCCATCAGGTGGATATGCCATCATTTAATTTCTTGATGGACACATAGGTTGCTTGCAATTTATGCTGTACAAACGAATCTGCAATATTTAACCTTGCATGAATATTTTGTTAATCATTGCCAGTATGTGCACATGGCAAATTTTGTAGCAGTGGAATTGCTAGGTCATAGGGTGTCTGCATTTCTAGATAGTAATAAATTCTGTTTAATTGTTCCTAGAGAAAATTATACTAGTTTATGCATCAAAGCATGTGAGACTTTTTTTCCCATGTTCTATGAGAAGTGTTTTGTTTTATTATTATTGATTATTTATTTGAAAGAGAGCTACCTTCCATCCACTGGTCCACTCCCAAAATGGCCACGCTGGCCAGGGCTGGGCCAGGATGAAGCCAGGAGCCTGGAGCTTCCTTTGGGTCTCCCACTTGGGTGCAGGGCCCAGGGGCTTGGGCCATCTTCCACTGCTTTCCCAGGTGCATTAGCAGGGAACTGGGTTGGACGTGGAGCATCCGGGACTTCCCAGTACCCATAAAGGATGCTGGCATCACAGGCAGCAGCTTTACCCACTACGCCACAACACCGGCCCCTGAGAACTATTTTTTTTTTTTTTTTTTTTTTTTTTTGACAGAGTGGACAAAGAGAGAGAGAGAGAAAGGTCTTCCTTTGCCGTTGGTTCACCCTCCAATGGCCGCCGTGGCCAGCGCGCTGCGGCCGGCGCACCGCACTGACCCGATGGCAGGAGCCAGGTGCTTCTCCTGGTCTCCTATGGGGTACAGGGCCCAAGCACTTGAGCCATCCTCCGCTGCACTCCCGGGCCACAGCAGAGAGCCGGTGTGCCAGCACCGCAAGGCGGAGGATAGCCTAGTGAGCCAAGGCACTGGCCTCCTGAGAACTATTTTTAAACTTAGTTTGCTTGCTTATCTCATAGATGAAATACCTAATTTGACCTATCTTTTCTAAGGAGGTTAAGTAGCTTTTCATATCTTTATTGATCATTTGTGGTTTTTTTCTGAAGCCTGTATCAATACCCTTTGCTCATTTTTATATCAAATCATTTAACATTCGAATGTTAATGTTGTTGGCCATGTATGTTACCAAAACTTGTCCATTTTTTGTTATCTTTATCATTTTTCTTTTGGGAGGCAAAGAGGAGGGGCATGTGAACAATTTTAATATTTGCACGAAGGTGTCAGTCTTTTTAATGATCTTTGAAGTTTGGGATAAACCTGCAAAGGCTTTACTCTGATTCCTCCTAACATTCCCTCCTTGACCGAAGAGTTCTTTTTTTTTTTTTTTTTAAAGATTTATTTGTTCACCTGAAAGTCAGAGTTACATAGAGGAAGAGAGGCAGAGAAAGAGAGAGAGAGAGAGAGAGAGAGGTCTTCCATCCACTGGTTCACTCCCCAGCTGGCCAAAATGCCTGGAGCTGTGCCTATCCAAAGCCAGGAGCCAGGAGCTTCTTCCAGGTCTCCCATGCGGGTGCAGGGGCCCAAGGACTTGGGCCATCTTCTACTGCTTTCCCAGACCACAGCAGAGAGCTGGATTGGAATGGAGCAGCTGGGATTCAAACCAGCGCCCATATGGGATGCTGTTGCCTCAGGCCAGGGCGTTAACCTGCTGTGCCACAGCCCCGCCACCCAAACACCTGCATCATAGGCCCGCACTCTGCCATCTACACTTAGCCTCCTCTTGCCTCTGCTGGCTGCTCTCAGTTTCGCCAGAGCCCTTCCAGTGCTACCAGTTAAACCACACTCACCAGAATCAGTCTTGCCTGGGTTATGGCACAGGGGGTTAAGCCACCACCTCTGATACCAGCATCCTGTATTGTTGTGGCTGTTCCAGTCCCAGGGGATGGAAAATTTCTGTCTCTCCTTGCCTCTGTCTCTCCCCCAACTCCCTCCCTCTTTTTCACTCTGCTTTTCAGATATATAAATCTTTAAAGATATTAAAGAACCAGTTGTGCCTGTGTTTCCAAACATACACATTTACTTGCCTTTAATATATAATTTAATATATAAGCCAATGAAATGAGAGTAAGCAGAAAGCTTACTCTGTGAATGGCTGACAAAGGCAGACCATTAAAAAACTTAACAGCGTTTGTAAATGTATTACTGGAGGGACAAGCGGGAGGAAGTTTAGAATACCATGATAGGGCCGACTGTGGGGAGCAGCTCGGACTAGACTAAGTTACTGGAATTAAGACTTATTCTATGCATCTGCTCTCCTCTGTGGGGAGCAGCTCGGACTAGACTGTTACTGGAATTAAGACTTATTCTATGCATCTGCTCTCCTACAATATGGCGCTGGGAGAGGAGAAAACAGCTTCTACCCAGCTGCCTCCAGTTCAACCAATAAACTGTAGGACTTGCTCCTGATTGGAGAGCAGCGTACTCGGCGTGTGGGCAGCCGAGTTAGGATTGGCGGAGGAGGACTATAAAGGAGGAGAGAGACGGCATGCACCGGGAACATCTATGAGGAACATCTATGAGGAACATCTAAGGGGAACATCTGAAGGAACACCTGTGCAGCCCCCCAGAGAGCCGGCCGGCAGTGTGCCGCTCCCCTGCGGAAGTGGGGAATGCGGCCAGGGGGAACTGCCCTTCCACGGAGGTGGAAGGGATAGTAGCCAACCCGGGAAGAACCAGCAGCAAACCCGGGGAGGGCCGAGCAGACGAAAGAACAGCGCAGAGTCCTGTGTTGCTCCTCCACGAAGAGGGGGAGCGACAGCCGACGCTGTGGTGTAGCAGGTTAAGCCACCGCCTGCAGTACTGGCATCCCAAATGGGTACCGGTTTGTCCTGGCTGCTCCTCTTCCGATCCAGCTCTCTGCTATGGCCTGGGAAAGCAGTAGAAGATGGCCCAAGTCCACGCCCCTGCAACCGCGTGGGAGACCTGGAAGAAGCTCCTGGCTTCGGATAGGCGCAGCTCCGGCCATTGCAGCCATCTGGGGAGTGAACCAGCAGATGGAAGACCTCTCTCTCTGCCTCTCCTCTCTCTGTGTAACTCTGACTTTCAAATAAATAAATAATCTTAAAAAAAAAAAATAAGAATGCCGTGGGCAGAACGTGATGGCCGATTCTGCTGGAGTGGGAGGGGGCCTTGGAGCCCGGGAAATCCACTCGGTCTGGCCCTGCCAGGGCAACCACAGGCGCTCCAAATTCAATACATCTATAGTTTTGTGTTGACTGGAAATGAAGTTATAAATATCAAGTGACCCTCAGCAGCCCTGGCTTAGAAGACCAGCATCCTGCTTGGATTGTGGACGGTGCAGGCCATGCTGGGAGGTCTGCGCTGGAAATGAGGATTCGATTTGGAATGGGACGAACGACCACCCTTGTCACATTGTGGCAAGGAACCTGGCTCTGGCACGCCCGGGTCCCGAGGCTTTGTCGGAGGTTGAGGTTAAGGATGGAGTTTGGCAGAGGGATCGCGAGACAGCAAAGCATTCAGGGGGTCATGGGGGTGTTGGCAGCTGCGGTGAGTGAGCCTTCCGGTGACAAGACGGAGCAGAAAGGAACAGAACGGGAATGGGAGAGTCTCGGCATGGCCAGAGGAGGAGGGGAGAAAAGTGCTTTTGGGACAGAATGCGGTGGGGGAGAAAACGCTGACGAGGACAGCACAGTAAAGGGGAGCTGAGAATGAGAGGGAAAAAGACCTCCAAGGGAATTTCAGGCGGCTCGGAGGCAGCCCCTCCCATCAGTCCCGTCAGGGACCTGGAAGCGCAAATTCCTTTCACAGACCCTCCGGGGCAGAATCCTTTAGTGAGGAGTCCCAGAGTGCACTGCTTGCCCTGGGCCAGCTCCACATTCTGCCACTGCAGCCAAGCAGGTGCGGGCGCGGCTCTGGCCGGCGGCAGACCTTCATGTTCTCAATGCGAAGCTGGCTTTGCAGGCATGCGTGATGCAAGACTTAGGGCGTCGTGGTGCCTTTCACCAAGATTCCAAAAAGGCCTGGGGGGCCCAGCAGAGCCGCTGCAGGATGGGGCCTCTGAGGGGCCCTCTGATGGGGCAAGTGCCTCATGGAGCTGTGTGTGCTGTGGGAAGACTCCAGGAGAGGGGAGGCATGGCGGTGGGAACCGATAGCCAGGGCAAGCTGCAAGCCATGGACAGGGCAAGCCTGGG